GAATATAAATATCAAAAAATATTCATTTTAAACAATGTAGTTCAAAGCTGCTTAAATCCGAGTGAAACAGTTCCAAATGGGAATAAACAAAAAAAAAAAATCCACCTGTATGTCAGGGGGTTAGGCAGTTTAGCCTAGATTTTAATTTCAATGTCTTATATTAAAGGCCTAAGGAGGCTGGCCATAGCACCGACTCTTATGAACACGTGTATAATAACTTGTTAGGCGGTAAATTTTAAACATTCTTTCTGTTTTATAATTTTTATACGGTGTTTGGAGAAGCCTTCCTTGTAATTGACAAGTCATTGCTTGTCGTGCATAAAACATAAGAGACTTTTAAAAAGTGTGTATTTCTATCTAAGAAAACATCTCATATTAAAAGTGTCTACTTAGGTATGCTAAGTTTGGCTTATATAGAAATATATAGAGATTTTTCCTTTCAAAGATGTAACCGGTCTGTAAGAAGTTAACATTTAAGTAAATATTAGAATAAACAAACAAATATATATATACACACACACACACACACACACAAATAAACAAACAAATATAGATACACAGCTTTACATATATACTGTATAACGAGTTTAAGAGAAAGGTCTCGAGACATACGTTTAGAGGGAAGATAGAATGAATCCAGTCTTACATAGTTATGTTATATGTCGATTATCATGTTCTTAATTATGACCTGCTATATTAGTTATCTATTGTATTTGTTACATGTAAAATGAAAAGATACCACAGCCAAAAAATCCAAACCCTCTCCATAAATGCGAAAAACGAAAAACGTTATAAAGCTGTTTGAAGCTTAGATATATGTGTAAATAACATGATATTTACAATAATAAATTGTGACATTTGAGTCACTTTGGACTTGACTACTTAATCAGTCGACTTATGAGAAGATATTCTAGAAAGGGTTTTTATTTGTGTGGTATGTAAAGAATGTGAGTACAAAGGAGATAAAAAAAAATGTGTACCATCGGAACCTTTGCTACAAGGTGTAACGAAAAATTGGGCGTCACTGAAAGCTATGGAAAGGAAAAAGAAAATATGAGAGGTGCTGTACCCAATAAAGTTATGAGTCAAATTTCATTGTAAACATCTTGTTGTTATTAAAATAATATCGACTGTATCGTGTTTGGATAATACGTATAAAATTCTTCTCATTCTTTATATACATATATTTCCCAGCGAATATTACTCCTTTTCTAAATTAAATACTCTTTTGGATTGGTAGAAATATAATTTCGATAAATACAGAATCATAGCAAAACAAATGCGATTTACCATTGAAGTAAACAGTACAGACTTTTAACCGTGGGAGGACGCGGCATCTGTGATCCGATAGGTACATCACATACCCAGAAGAAAGAAAAGGAAAGTTAAAAGGAGAGAGTGATAGAACTAGTCAAGGAAAGACACTGAACCGTGGGAAAAGCTTGACGGAGCAAGAGAGAGAGAAAGATAATGAACAAGCGGCGCATGCCGTAGCCACGGCCCCCAACTTGCTCTAAACTCGTGCAGCCTGTCGCTGTCGGTCGAATTTTAATGGCGGCTCATTCCGATTCCCTGTTAGTGTTATTATCAAGTGACGAATGGTATTTGTATTCTTTATGTGTTATCAAAGGGAACAATAAGCAGTTTCATTGAATTTAGACTGTGTGGCTTAGTGTTTTATCGTTTGAGGACTGTATCAGGGACCCGTATCAAGGACATAGTGCATATTCGCGATGTGTCGTAGCGACTCTGGCGTACGAACATTCCATCATGTAGTCATGTTGTACATTTTGGCTTTTTCATGAAAAGGTCTATTGTACGTGACAAATTGAAGTGGTTTGGTTTTATTTTAATTTGATAAATATATACCATTGTGTATGTATTGGTCGTGACAAAGAAGGAAAGTTACGTGAGCTGACTGATGATCATATCAGATTGAACGAATCGAAGCTGCAAGCTTTTTTTATACTAGAGGTAATTCTTTTTCTTTTTGAATAATTACTCAAAGATATGTTCGTATTTTATGATCATCGTGCAAGAATTTATGAGTTTATGAAATATTTTATCATCAGATCTCAACTAATTCGCTCGATTTATGTTTCGTTAGACAATTATTGACAAGGAGTAGAGTATCCTTGCCTTTGTGCAAAGACACTGGCCTTAACTGTCAAGTGCAGCTATGCTGCTTACACTAATGAAGGGCGGTGCGTGCAACGTTGTTACTCAAAAAGTGTGGAGCCATCTGCCCTAGCCTGACATCGTCGTCGAAATGTTTTAGTACCGAAATCGGTTAGTGATACATTATTTACATTCTGATAATTTGTTTTTGAATGATTAAAATGTGTTTAATCATGTATGTTAAATTTTTAGAAAAGCAATGTAAATCTAACAAACTATAAATGTTTAAAGTATCTTAACTATATATTCTAATGTATCCTTCTACATTTCCGTTTTATTTTTTATGTTTTATTATCAATTTTTTTTTTTAAATACATAAAATAGACTCTAGAAGTTTAAATGTTTTCTTATAGAAAATGTTTTACTGTATCAAGTAAAAAATATTGATGAAACATTTATTCTTTAGTATCTATAAATGCATCTCAAATATTCTTAAAAATAAATAATTACATATAAGTTGTTTTAAAATGTTTCAGAGATGCCAGGCAATGTGCATCATTTCGGTGCCTGGATACATGTATAACTGGTAGTATTGCATCAATATTGGCCTTCTACCAGTGGGACATATACCCTTATTGTACTTTCTAAGCTTCCTACCCTAGACTTGTACATGCACAAACGCACACGCATATTGTGTGCGCATGTGCTTTGTCAACTATTGCCTACACATCATGAGATTCTTGGGATTTATATCATTTCCCATTTCGCCTACTGTGTTATCTCAAAAACTGCTGCTACCACTTCAGCGATTATCCTTTTTATCCATGTCTGTTGTCACCTGGTTCCTCATGATACTGGTAACTGCAGCCATAGATACACCTGCTAGTACTGTTCCACCTGTGCAAGAAAACAGATCTTTACATGTTATAACGCAGTTTCCTATGGGAGATGGTCAAAGATATGGATTTTATCCTCTAGATCCAAATACAACAAGAGAAGGTGTTCTTCGATTTAATCATCTTACTATAGATCCTGCTACAGGAAGATTGTATGCAGGTGCTATCAACAGACTTCTACAATTAGATTCGAATCTCAGATTGGAGGAATATGTTTCCACAGGTTAGTTATTGATTTATTTTATGATTTGCATATTACAGAAGAACTGTTGAAAAATTATTATTCATCATTGTTTTTAGGACCAAGATTGGATAATCCTCAGTGTCATGCAACAGGCTGCCCTTCTGGGGACATAACTACATCTTTAATGGATAATGTAAACAAATTATTAATTGCTGATCTTGAGTCACAAACATTGATTGCGCGTGGTTCCCTTCTTCAAGGTGCTTGTGAAAAGTACAAAATGTCAAACATATCTATTAAACCGGAATTCATTCCCCATAGTGTAGCAGCAAATGATGAAAACTCTTCTACATATGCTTTTATTGGACCTGAAAGATACAATGCTTGGGGACAAACAAATATACTCTATGTTGGTACTACATTCACTAATAGAGGAGATTACAGACACGATGTGCCTGCCATTTCCAGTAGAAATCTGCATAATTTAGAATTCGCAGAGTATACGTTCAATAAACAATCGATCGTGTATATCGATGTGAAATACCGAGATCATTTCCTTGTTAAATACGTGTATGGTTTCAATGCCAGTGATTATGCGTATTTTGTGCTAGTACAAAAACAATCTCATCTTCCGGAAGAAGAAGAAAAGGGTTATATTTCTAGATTGGCTCGCAGTTGTATCAGCGACCCGAATTATGATAGCTACACAGAAGTGACGTTACAGTGCACTGTCGATTTAGGTGACGGAAAACCTCAGTCTTATAATTTAGTGCAAGATGCAAAAGTAGCAACAGCTGGTAGTGATATTGCCATGCACCTCGGTATTTCTGTCGGTGATCCCATTTTTGTCTCTGTATTTTCACCAAGTAGAGGTATTACGAATGAACCTCTATCCCGATCAGCACTTTGCGTGTACAGTCTACAGATGATTGAAACAAAATTTGATGAAAATATTCATATGTGTTTTAATGGTAGTACCAAATATAGAAATATGGGTTACGTCAGTGGTCCTATACAAGATGGAAAATGTCCTACAGCAGGAGTAAGTATTTTTAAAGTTTAATAGATTTAAAAAAATTTTCATACAAAAATATTACGTTTTTATCACTTATTTCGATTAATTTCTGCGTTCATTTTTGTTTTTAGACAACAGGCAACATTTTGAATTTTTGTGAAGTAGGTTTGAAGATTTCTGGAATGTCACCGATTGTAGGGGAAGCAATCTTACATTTTCCCGACGAATTCATCACTTCCGTAACAATAGCTAATACAGAAAGTCACACTGTTGCATTTTTGGGTACTAACGATGGTGTCCTCAAAAAAGTTTTACTTTCTGGAAACGATGCATTCGTCTATGAAAGTATCGTAATTGATAAAGGAAACCGATTGATGCCTGATACTTTAATCTCACCAGATGGAGAACATATTTACGTCCTATCAACCTCTAAAATTTCCAAGGTTCAAGTCGAGCATTGCAGTAGCTATACTAATTGCAGCAGTTGTCTCGATGCGAAAGATCCTTATTGTGGATTTTATAACATTGATATATAATTTTAGATGTACAGTCCGAGGCGATTGTCAGAAAGCAAGTCATAGTAGCCCACGATGGTTATCCTTAGGCACAGGACAACAGTGCATCGACTTTGAGCAAGTTCTTCCAGATCGTATGCCTATCAATCGAATGACCACAGTTCACTTAACAATCAGAACTTTACCTGAATTACCAGCGGGTGCAAACTACAAATGTGTTTTTGGTAATGCGGAACCTATAGATGCATTAATGACTGGATTTGGATTATCGTGTCCTACACCACCCGTTATTGAAAGACCGAATATACCAGATGGAGCCGATCATGTTCTAGTACCACTATCTGTACGCTCTAGTGAAACGAATAAAGACTTCGTCTCACGAAATTTTGCATTCTTCGATTGTTCAAGACATACTGTATGTACAGAATGTGTAAAATCTCAATGGGCATGTAGTTGGTGTGTATACGATAACAAATGTACACATAACACAAGCTGCCAGGGTATAATTTCAGGGGAAAATGTAAGTTCATCACTACAAAGTTTAAATAAAATTTAGTACAGAGATTGAAAAAAAAAAAAATAATTTAATATTTTCAGAATCAAGCAAATTTAGCCGCACATGGAGCTCAGTACTGTCCAAGATTTGTTCATCGCCAAGAACCATTGATGTTACCTAATAGTGTACCAAAAGAGATAGTACTCGAAGTTGAAAATTTACCGCATCCTCAAGTGGGTCATAGTGGATTCCAATGTATTGTTTCAATTGAAGGTGCTAATCTAAAGGTACAAGCTCGTGTCGACAGTAGCCGCTTTATAGTTTGTGATAAAACAGTTTACTCGTACGAAGCAGTCACTGGTGAATATGAAGCAGAGGTAACAGTTGTTTGGAACATTAACCATCATGTGGACAAAACTACTATCATCCTTTATAAGTGTGAAGTGCTGGGTTCACATCGTGAACACGCAGATTGTTCTCTTTGCGTGACTAGAGATGCGCGCTTCGAATGTACTTGGTGTGGTAATAGTTGCGTGTATCGGCATTCTTGTTTACATTCACCATTTACTGAATGTCCAAAGCCGAGGATAGATATGATTAAACCTCTCAGTGGACCGATCGAAGGTGGCACATTAGTTACTATAGAAGGTAGCAATTTGGGTTTAAAAGAAAGTGATGTAGATGGAAAAATACATATTGGTAACACTCCGTGTACTTTAGTCGACTATGAAGTTTCTGTGCGTATCGTTTGCCGTACTGGAAGACATGAAGCAACAGATACTGCTTCCGTGGTTGTTGGTAATGATGCTGGTTATACTGAAAGCGCTGTACTATTTAATTATAAGGATATACGTTTGTCTGGTGTCTATCCATCAGTTGGCCCACAAAGTGGTGGAACACAACTTGCCATTACTGGGATGTATTTGAATATTGGTAGTACTATTTCAGCTTACTTGGATGAATTACCATGCCATGTTAATGCCACACAAGCAAGCAGCAGTAGATTAACCTGTGTAACTAGTAAATCCGACCGAGTAAGAAAAATTGACAGACTGACTCTTAGCATAGATGGTGCGAACCGTACTCTAGTTGGTAATCCCTATAATTACACTCATGATCCTACTATTATGGAGATCAAACCATTGACGAGCTTTGCTTCCGGTGGCCGCATGATCACCGTTCATGGCACCAATCTAGACACCATCCAAAAGCCTGAGATGGAGGTTTATTTTGATAATGAACTACTGCCAATAAATAGAACTGTTTGTACAGTATTAAATCCGACGCAGATGGAATGTCCGAGTCCTAGCGTTGCTAAGCGTTTCATGACTCTTCGACGTAATGAGCGTGCTACCGTTAATGGCCAAAGTACACCACCTCTGTCACTAAAGTTAAAGGAATCTCAGTTGTCCTTAAAAATAGCGTTTATTATGGATAACGTAGAAAGTGTTCGAGATTTGGAGAAGCATTTTAAGAGTCTCAGAAATCGTTTGCTTTACGTGGAAGATCCAAAATTCTTCGCCTTTCCACGAAATATTAAATTGTATAAAGGTGATACATTAGTGATTGAGGGAGAAAATTTGATTTTCGCCAGTGACGAGTCTGATGTAAATGTCACTGTTGGGACAATGCCATGTAATGTGACTTCGCTTGCTCTAACTCAATTAGTTTGTATTCCCCCAGATCAACAACCAGCTGACACAGATGAACTTGGAATTAAAACTGAAAATGGTCTACCTTTGGTCGTAGTACGCGTAGGTCGTAGCTTGAGGTTTCCCATTGGTTTTCTGCGTTATGAAGTGATTAAATCTTACCCAATCCCACCAGAGGCAATTGCGGGCATAGCTGCTGGCACATTCGGTCTCGTATTTTTATTTGTTCTAGTATTAATAATATATAGACGGAAAAGTACGCAAGCGGAAAGGGAATATAAAAGGATACAAATACAGATGGATACTCTCGAAAGCAATGTTAGGATGGAATGTAAACAGGCATTTGCTGAATTACAGACTGATATGACAGATTTAACCGCAGATCTGGAATCCTCCGGAATTCCAACTTTAGATCACAAAAACTATATTATGAAAGTATTTTTTCCTGGTGTTACACATCATCCCATATTAAATGATCCTAGATCACGTAGTAATGTTTCCCGAACAAACTACGACGCTGCCATGATCCAGTTCGAGCAGCTGATTAATAATAAATACTTTGTATTGACGTTTATCGAAACCTTAGAGGCTCAAAAAGACTTTAATATTAGAGACAAAGTGAATGTTGCATCATTACTCATGGTTGTACTGATGGGTAAGATGGAATACGCAACTGATATACTTATGAATCTTCTACTAAGACTTATTGAAAAGGCAGTGAACACAAAGCATCCACAGCTAATGCTTAGAAGAACTGAGTCTGTGGTAGAAAAGATGCTAACGAATTGGATGGCACTTTGTATGTACAATTATCTTAAAGACTATGCAGGTTCCTCTTTATTTTTATTGTTCAAAGCAATAAAACATCAAATAGAAAAGGGTCCTGTAGATGTGATCACGCATGACGCTAGATACTCGCTGTCCGAGGAGAGGTTGCTTCGTGAGCAAATCGAGCATAGTATAGTCACGTTACATGTCGTACAAGATGATCTAGATGAGAAGATCCAGTGCAAGGTGTTAGATTGTGATACTATAAATCAAGTAAAGTCCAAGATTCTAGATGCTCTCTACAAGAATACTCCTTTCTCACTGAGGCCGTCCGTTCATGACGTAGATTTGGAATGGAGACACGGTAGAGGCGGTCATTTAACTCTCCAGGATGAGGATCTCACAACAAAGTGCAACGGCGAGTGGAAGAAGATAAACACATTGGCACACTATGGTGTTAAAGAATCGGCGGTGATGTCGTTGATTCCTAGACAGAACGATGGTTTTTCCGTCGCCTGTAAGCCACCGTGTCACAACTGCAAACCATCGCATTATCATCAGCAGCAACAGTCCATTCATCATCATACTCATCACCATCACTTGCATCGTCACGCAAATCACTGTTCGTCCACACATCTTCCATCCACACCTAATCACAATCTAATTAGTCCTGTAATGTACAATCATCCTGTCAGTGGTTTATATTTCGAATCTCAACATTCACCACCGATCATAACGGCGAACGGCGACGTTGAAAGTGGACATGGAGGTAACCAACGATTATATCACTTGGTAAGGCCTATAGAAGAAAGTCACTACCCGCCAGGTATGGGTTTTACTGGTAGCAAGCATCATCATCCAGAACGAACACACAAAGCCATCCCTGAGATATTTCTAACGAGATTATTATCAACGAAGGGTACTGTTCAAAAGTTCGTTGATGATTTCTTGAACACGATATTAACAGCGAACGAAGCATTACCTAGTGCTATAAAATGGTTGTTTGATCTTTTGGACGACGCCGCGAAACAACACGGAATTGTTGATCCGGAAGTGCCACATGCATGGAAATCAAACAGTTTGCCGCTTAGATTTTGGGTGAATTTTATTAAGAACCCAGACTTCATGTTCGATATTAATAAATCCACGACGGTCGATTCGAGTTTATCCGTTATAGCGCAAACTTTTATGGACTCATGTTCGATGACAGAGCATAGGCTAGGCAAAGATTCACCTTCAAATAAGTTACTCTTCGCCAAGGATATACCGCACTACCGAGAAAAAGTGGGTCGTTTTTACACAGATGTACAAAGACTGCCACAAATTACTGATCAAGAAATGTCTAGTGCCATGCAACAACTAAGTGCGTCACACGCGAATGAGTTTGATGTGATTGCAGCACTGAAAGAACTTTACATCTATGTCAGCAAGTATTATGAACAAGTAAGTTAACACTTCCCATCCTTTGATTACATTCATTTAGATTTTTATTTATTGATAATTTAATTAATATAATATTGTAGATCTTAGAGGCCTTGGAGACAGACGCGGGCTGTCGCAAATTACATCTAGCTCATAGGCTAGAAAATGTCGCGTGCACGCTCGAAGGAGAGGAAACCAGTGCCTGCTGACACAACCTCCTCATTGCTATCCCAGGACCCGTCAATCTCTCCAGAAACACTGACTAGTGCCTCCATTTCATGCATCAGATACACCTCGTTACATATGTACAAATCTACACACCATGTGAATAACAATGCCGTAACAATACGTGCGATTTCGTTAAGGCTAGTCAGGCGATAGTTTTTCTCAGGATAAATTAATCCTGATTGTAGCATTTACGTCTATATGTCATGGCCGTATCGAAATACGCTCGTGCACACGTACAGATGTTAGCAAAATGGTAACAAAAGAGAAAATGCTGACTCTAACCCTTAAACCTGATCTGTTTTTATTAATATTGTATATTTCATTTATTTTACTATGCATATATAGTATATTTGTAACAAATTATAAGAAAACGATGAAGAGAATACTCGTTCAAATCTCAATGCAATCGGTGGAATCTCTGTTAATAAGAGATATAATTTATCGTACGATCAAAGAACTCTATCTCCGGTGACGTAGCTAAATATTGATCCGCCTACATGTTTAAGGATTTGAGATGCAAAATTTGTGCAAAATACCTATTAACAAAAAAAAAAGAAGGTAAAGAAAATTAATGATTTCAATTTCATTGTTGGCCGAATGTCTATACGTGTATACGTAGTATATATGACACAAAAGAGATAACATGTGTAAAAGTTGAGCGAGAAAAGAAAGCCATAGTGTCCACCAGACTGTCTGTACAAAAGAAGTACGGCAGCAAGTAGTCTGTGATCCGAGCACGTGTGGCTATGCCTACTATCTTCATTACGATATATATTATTAATATGTTATATATTATATATATATATATACATAAAAAATATATAAAGCAAAGGTCACGCAACATACACCTCCACGGATTGTAGTGAGCTAGTTAGAGAGGGTCTATATATGTATTATAAGTTGGGGGTGAGGAACCCTTCAGAGAAAAAGAGAGAACGAGTGAAAAAAGAGAGAATAAGAGAATGCAAGGAACGATATTAAATTAAGGCAGTTAAAATAATGTTAAATGAAAAGAAAAATTGGGGAATTAAAAATTTTGAGAGCAGCTCAGACTACTCTAGGCCTATCTACGTATATTTAGTACGTAAAAAAAAAAGAAAAAATTTTTTTCATTGCATTATTTGTTCATTTTTTGAGTCTGTTTTTATTTACTTTACATAATTACATTTATATAGGTATGACTGTTGCTATTATCTACAAGGCCACTATGTGGATCATATAATGATTTTACAACTACTATAGAAGCTATATTATATCTATTATTGCTCTTACTATGATTAAGTTGTATTATTATCTATATAGGTACAATTATCAATTAATTGCCCATTCAACAATAGTTATTATGGTATATTGTTAAGCGTAAAGCACATAATAGTTGCAAAAACGAAAAAAATCTTTTATATTGTATACCGGCGAGGAAGTTTCTAGACTCTTATGAATACGAATTAAAGAGAAAAAGAAAAAAAAAAAAATGAAAAAAGAGAACACAGTAGTAAGAAAAATTTTATACATGTCTGGTTATATTTTCGCCGGTCATTAGATGTTCGAGGTTTTTCGTCAGTCGGTCAATAATATCGCGGTTAAACGCATCGAAAAACGGAAGTTTAACAAGACACAACGATGAACAGTATTTTCTTGGTATTATGCCGCCATTTTACTTTACCTAAGACTGCCTCAGTTTGAAAATTGCATTTTTTAAGAAAGCATTTAATTGTCCATGATATTCACTATTCTGATATATAGGTATCTAACAGTTAAATTCACTGCCCACTGCGCACTGCCAATTTTTCTCCATGCGCTTTTAGGAACTGTTACACTGGAACAGACCTACTTAATGTTCGATTAAACCATGAAAATAATTATTTGATAGTTTCGTCAGTGGTAGGTCTGGGAAAGCTGAGGTTCAAGCTCACTCTTGTACTTAATTAACACTCTCGTATATTTTATCTGTCCTACAGGTCCTCAGCTTCCCTATCGCTAACCATCAACCTATGTATCTCTCTATTATATGTATTGTATTTATTTATATTCCGACAACCGGATTATCTATATGAAAAATAGTACGTCAATCTGCCCTATGTAACTCAACATATTATTTTTCTTCACATACGTGTATGATTGTCGTATACTCATATATTTTCTTTAATACATATTAATACACGTGATGTATATTTGTTTTTAAACATTAAGTCGTTTTACTACATTTTTTGTTCATGTAAAGCGACGGTAAAATATCTGGAAATTATGCAAATGAGAGTTGAAATTGCGGAATAATTTAATTTCATATATATCACATTTTCCTAATATGTACTTCACGTAATATGATCGCAGATAGAAAACAAATGAGAATAGAATGGAAGACGAAACTTAAAATATCGACGAACTTCGTCCATTTATAGTCATTCTGTTCTCATTTCTTTCGTTTTAAATATTATTTTACATATATTTAAATCACCATTTTCTATGAGAATAAAATCAACTTTCTTGTATATTTGATTAAAAAGAGAAACATGTATTGTACATTTAGACAAGTTATTTTATCAAACTTTTTATTGATTGAATATTTTATTTGTACAATGAACTTGTAGCGAAGAATATAATGATCATTTTATCTCGCAATTTGAAACGATGAAAAGCAAATTTTTTAATCCAAAATGACTGTATAAAACTTCCAGCGAAAAAATAACAAAATTAAATGATAAAATAGTAATCATTTTACAAATACTTTAAATATAATCTTCCTCTACTTTGCATGTAGAGTATATATTGATTACATAGAAAACTTCAGAACGTACATGTCTTTTCAACAAATTGCTAAAACTTGTTCCATGATTTCTTTTTCTAATAAATTTATAAAATGGAATGTTTTTGTAAATGGTGTTTACATTCATTTTGATTATATTAAACTTATTGGATGTAGTCTTCGAATGAAATTAATTTCGACGTTTAATTGGCATAATGAATCGCGCACACACATGCACACACATACGCTCGCACGAGTTGATTTTTTCATTAAATTACTATCACGCTTTATCGCTAATAAGGTGTTTTTTATCCGACAAACTGTTTAGTGTAAAATGAACTAAAACGATAGACTGAAGATTGTTATTCCTATTATTCCAAAGAAAACTTACTAGATAAATATTAAATGTTTTTATACAAAGTCTTGGAAACAGAAATAGTATTCATACATTAATAAATGGTAAAAATATAATTAAGTGTATAATCATTACTTATTTCGAAAAGCTTATCAAATATTTTCGAAAAAATCTATATTTTCATTAGTTAAATTTTGTTAACATAATGATTAAAATAAAACAAATAATTTAACATGGAAACTTTATTCGAGTTATAAAGATGAATCTATGTTAATAAATATTATAAAGGATATACGTTGTTACAATGAAAATATGTTTTTTGTATGAGAACTATTTATTCCATGATATTAGTGGCATATTTTTCGTTTATTCTATATTACAGTAATGTATCATTACTTGAAGCATATAACAATGATTTAGCGATAAAGAGCGATGGTTCGTATCATAATGAAATGAATTGTTTAAGATGTATGTGTGACTATTATTGAACAAATATACTGCAAATCCTTGAATTATGGATAATACGTTCCCAATTGTATATACTACATAAAATATTAATATTACTAATATTATTGATATTAATATTTTTATATTATCAAGCCATAGAGAAATTAGTAAAAAGGACAGTGTATATTAACGAAGCTTTTGGAATTGTAAAATTGACGTACATTTCTTATAAACTTAAATAGGTTCATTTGTTATTTCAATAACATTATTTAACGTCTACAATAATAAGGACCGATATTTTTTATAAGGGTATATGAGATTTTTTAAATTTATATCATTTTACATAGAACAGATTGACGTACTCTAATATATTTGCACACATATTCGTATATACATACGTCTCGTCTCTATTGTCTGAAGTTATAAGATTCCTGAGAGGTGTGTGGTACATCTTTAATAATCAGAATGTTCATTTTCAGAAGTTCATGTAGAGTATCTTGTATGATACGTGAAGTACATCATACGTTCGAGCGCAATTCGATGGAAGCCGCGTAACATGCTACATTTTAATGTATATCTAGTACATGCAAAATTTCGATGAAATTCTGTTGTTTTCTTAAAGCATTTAAAATATTCAACATTATACAAAACATTTGTGTATTTGTAAGAAAAAATAGAAAAGTATTTAAATCGTTCAAATAATTTCAAACATATAGGAAGTACTATTGGTTACTACGCGAGTCATTTGTTTATTCATTTAAGACTTAAATTCTTGTAACATGAATTTAGAGACTTTATTTTGCATTACAATCATTCGTATGTTTGTTTCTTACTTTTTAATGTACAGAATGTAAACAGAATATTATTTATTATTTAAAATATCGATAAATATTAACCCCAGAATTTGTGACATTTAAATATTCGATATATTCTCCTGAAAAATATGTTAATGTTTGAGTATAGCATTGAAAATTGCTTGTGGCATAGCAGAATTTCTCGACAATTTGTACGCTCGACAGTTGACTCCATCCATCAGAAAAGCTTGTCAATTCCGCATTCAACGTATGTACTGTATTGTAATTAACGGAGAAAATTTTCAGCGGTTTACAGTTTACAAGTCGATTAGTAATATCATGCTTCGTAGTATAGATGATTCCAAACGTCATGTCAAGTTTAAGATTATTCTCTGTTAAGCTTCGGAAAAAAGGATGGGGGGATGATTGTTTCCTGCAAAAATAAATTAAATATATTCGACCTCGGGAACCGTGTATGAAAATAATGTAAAACGGGCTCGTTTTCATTCCCATGAATTTTTGAATGTATCTTTCCTCGTTGTATAGCCTATACGTAACGTATGTGTGTATGTACCGATGAATGCAATGCATGTATGAATGCGATGCTTCTTTACTTGTATGTCTGATTGTGAATGCGAGCGTGTATCTTTTGATGTACGCGTGTAGATGCAATCCCGAAAAACCTTATGTAAATAGAATTCAACCCCCCATCTTGCATATAAGTAGATTCTAAGTAACACTCGAGAACGAAATGACTCTTGCCAAATTTTCAATGGGATGTAGGGACAAACAAATAAGCATTTGAAAAATTGCAAAAATATATTGGTATTATAAATGAATTTAATATTTGTAATATTTTTTTCAGTATACCTATAATCAATATTACTTGTTTTTTATTTCAGGTTTTTAAAATTTTACAAAAGTTCAGTTGGATATCTATATTTGTATATTTAAATTAATATACATTTATACAAAAAATTACATTCTTATAGTTAAAAGTTACAGTATCAAATTACATCGTGCTACTATTTTCTACACTTCATAACAAGTTATATTAAAAAAAAATTATCTAATTATCTGCCAAAAGTATATGACTATATAAAAGGTAAAAATCTTAAATTCAACACAAACTTAGGAATTATTGTAATCTAAAAAATTAATTGATGTACTTGATTAAAAATTATTTATGATAAAATACATTAATTTTCAGAGCTTACTAATATTGATTTTGACCAGTTTTTCAATTATTTAATCAACTCGTGTCAAAAAATTTGTTTAAGTCTTTTTTATGTCATAAAATATCGTCACAATATTCATAAAAATGACTTTCATTCTACACCTGACTTGATTTTGTACAGAAGTGATTTTTCCTGAGATTTTGTTGAAGACAGTGCTGGTGAATTGGATGAAGAATTCTTTGAACTTTGAGTTGTATTTGTGCTTCGTTTATCTTGCTTAGCTTTTTTCATCATATCCTTTAATCTTCTATCTGCACTTATAATATGAATATTTGGTGTTACTTTATTTGCACCACCTATTTAACAAAATAATAACTTTTCTCACTTAAAAAAAAAAATTATTTTTTGAATATAGAAAACTTACTTGAATTACATTTTTTCTGTTCTTTAGATTTGTTTTCTATCACTGTTTTTGGTGAGCTCCTTTCTTTTGAGACCTACAAATTAAGAAAGGAATTTATTTTCACTCCATAATTTTTATTTATCCTAAAATTTTGAATAAAAATTACAAATTTCTTTGTATAAAAGTAGGATAAATTATAATGTGAGTGAATACACACACCTGAGATTTTGAACAGTTTGAACAATACCACACTGGAGCTGGAACATCTATCTGAGAATCTACAATATGTGGTACATGACATTCCTGGTGATACAAGGAATGACACTCTAGGCACTCGACAAGTCTATTTCTTGCTCCAACATCCATTCCTTTGCAAATAACACATGTCAGATCATCCTCTAATATTTCTAGTGCCAGAGTATTATCAGTCTGAATAATATCAGGTGGTGTGTCACGGGTTGGTAAATTCACTGGAGAGCTGTTCTTGCTTGATTTACTTGAGTGTTTGGAGGAAGAAGATGAAGAGCTTTTGCTTTTTTTACTACTACTGCTGCTACTATGGTCACTCAGCACTGGTTCCTCCATCATATACTAAAAACAGAAAATGCAAGAGATACAAAATCAGAAAATAAATGACAATGATGGTGCATACAGAGGGATCAAATACTGGATATCTTTTTACGTGAATGAAATCTCCTATGCTTCATGAGTGCCCTGATATCAGAACTAACTCTGTAATTATAATAACTTAATTAATATAAGTCACTTTAATTGAAGTATTTTTTTTTGGTAACCCCCAATATAACGTTTTCAAATTAATTATTATTTAACTACCTTTTTGTGTAATACATTCGATAACATCTTTGATGGTCCATATTTCTGTTTGATTGCTTCATCTAACAGTGCTCGTAGTTGTTCTGCAGAATCTTTGTTAGTGGAATGTAGAAGATGTAAACCTTGTGTAAATTGAGGATCTAACTCCAATTGTGACATTTTTGTATGATTTATTTTAATCTGTGAAGTATAAGATAAAAATTAAATAGATAAAGTTTTAATAACATAAAAATAATATATTTTTATTATTTTTGTTTGTTTAGATTCAATTTTTTCTTTATCATATAATACTTAAATCATAATTAGTGAAAACATAAATGAAATCGTTTAAAAGGAAAATCGTAGGTTATATTTAGTTTACTCGTTATTTTTTCAATTGAAATGAAAAACTAAAAAAAATATACAAATTTATTACCTGTGAAAAATTTTTATAAAATACAATAACTAGATAATATTAAGAATGTCTGATTGAGATATCATATATGACATGATTAATCTTTAAATGATATGAAACATTATATATTTAAATGTATGTATAAAGCACTTCTGTTTCATTTGTACTAAATGGGTCGTGTAATTAGGAGAGCACCTGCGAATTTAAACTTCTCATTTCATGTTTTCCTCCCAGCAATACTTATGAGATATCCGTAATTTACATTCAATTAAAAAATTCATATAAAAAGAGAACAAATACAGATTTAGCATTTTTATCGAATTTATCATTTTCTAAAATATTATTTCGTATTTTAAAAATACCGCCTGGAAAGTATATCCATATATGGGAACTGTACGTTATACATAAAGTAAAAAGTAACGAAAGTTAAAGAACGTAGGCACCACTAACACTTGATTCGTCCCTGGTCTCGCGTATTCCAAATTTAATTTTACAGAGTTTTGATTCTGCGTTAAATAAATGCAGCTTCTGTCTAGGGAGATATCGTCGTGAATAAAAGTTCACTTTACCAAAAGAATAAAGAAAAGTATACGTTCGGACATGAATACTCACGTTAAAGCTGCGAAAGAATGGTGAAAATACAAGCAAAGAAAGACCAAAATAGTAACCCTGCAGGCGATCAAGTGTAAGGAACGAGTCAAGTACGCCTGGTGTGCTCTTTCCATCTTTTTCTATTTATCGGAAAAGGTATGAACGCTTCCTTCTCGAGGCGCGTTAAAACGATGTCTAACTTTCGACGGGCAGTTGGCAGCCGTGCGTAAAAGAAATAAATAATCAAAGCGACCATGAAGTGACAAATAAAGTTGGAGAACAATGCTCGCGAATGGCAAGGAAATTTGAGTGCAGCGTGCATTGGCCCCTGTTCTATGTTTTGGATACGTCTTTCGCGGTTACAACGTGGTGTTCCATACGATATTAAAGCCGGAGGTACGCTATGTACTCGCCGCAGAGACGAGGCTGACATTTAGATATTTTCTTCGTTCCGATACCGTCGTGGTATTGGTCTTACTTTCGTATTCCTGTATCAGTCGCCCGCTGACAACCGTGATTCCTCCATGCGTAGGAATCCGATTCTGCGGTTAGCTAATTAAATGACTGAAAACGCATTGAATCGACGGTCTCCAGAACTTTTACTATCGAGAAAATAATACAGATCCAAGGAAACATGCCTTCCTCAACAGTGCTGTTACACATCGTTTTTTAAGGACACGTTCGCACAGTACCGGTTAACGATATTTCATTGTTAACCTCTACTATTGTTTCGAATGTATTGTTATACCGCATGTTGCGGACGATAGTGACCATGTGTTTGATCTTTACTCAGCTGACTAAGGTCTGACAGGATAATTCATCTAGTAAGCTTCAAACATGAAAACAGAAAAGAAGCCTAGCGAACCAAGTTGCGTACCAACCACTGTTGTCAAAGAAGAACCTGACACAGATCCGGTTAAAATTAAGGAGGAGGGTACCGGAGGTAATAATGATGATACAACTGGAGAAGACACTACAGAGTGTCCGAGAGATCCTTGTTTGGATCCTTCTAATGGGGAAGCTACATTATCAGGGGAGAATCAAAATAATAGTGCAAATCAACCAATTCTAAACTCTGTGAAACAAGAAGGTGATCATAACAATCCCACGGATGATATACCTGGTAGGGCTAAATTTAATTCTTATGTTCAGTTAATTATCTATACTCTTGATATTTAATATTCTTTTTGTCAGATTATTTTATTTATTTTATTTGCTTTGTTGTAGATTGTAGTGGTAATGTGATTACTGCAGATGGTATTCAACCACTAGTTAGTAATGTTCTTGGAAAACAGATGGGAACTAGCACAGGAAGTGGAGAAGCTCAGTATATGCAACAACAAAGTCAAATTTTTGTATTTTCTACAACATTAGCAAATAAAGGTGCAGATGCAGTATTGCAAGGACAATATCCATCAATTATTGCTTATCATTGTGCACAACCAGGCACTAAAAAGTATTTAGAGGTATGTAATAAAATTTGATGAAAAAAGACTTACATTATATTTATCTCTTATATTATCAATATCATACTATATTATCATATTAGAAACATCCAAATAAAGTAAATCAATTCCGTCAAAACCCTGCACAATGGTTAAACAATCTTGCAATGATGAAACAAAAAGGTCATCAAGGAGGTACAAATAATACTTTTCAAAATGAGCAACCTCCTGATTTACCAGCTCTTGATCCTAATGCTCCTCCATTCTGGAATGAACAACCTAATTTAAGAAACTTAAATGGTGGTAATACTCTTGGTAATTCTGAACCATCATTGGATGATGCAAATATAGATGTGCCTTGCCTTGTACCGAATTCACCTGGTAACACAGGTAATATGTAGTTACATTTACACTTTGTATTGTAGTTGAAAATGTTTCCAACTTTTTTTTTATGGGTACCCTTTTGTGTACACTTTATGCCATTAGAAGCATACCTTTTATTACAGCAAATCCACAACCTCCTAATAGCACTACAATGGGCCATAGTCCCAATTTATTAGGAGGTACTACCAGCCCAGGTCCAGGCAGTTTACAGCCATCACTGCAAGGTGTCAAAGTTCCAGACGAAAATTTAACCCCACAACAAAGGCAACATCGAGAAGTTCAGTTAGCAACTATTAGAAAAATGCAAATGATGTTATTTCCTGAACATAAGGAAGAAACTACTAATACGCTAGACACGACACAGGGAACAGCGGTATCAACGTGTCCTTCAACGAATGTTCCTTCAGTTGTACCAACTCAATGTCCACCAAGTATGGATTGGCATAAATTACAACATCAATTTCTTGATGGAAAAAATAAGGTAAAATAATGTATAAAATTAAGAGAACATGTATTTAAGAAAATATTAATACAACATTTTAATATAATATTTATCCATATTGCAGGCCAGTGTTGGAAGTCCTGGAACAGGAGTTCCATTGCGAGGTGCTAACATGGTAGGGGTTCCGCGTAGTCAAGGACCGCCCCCACCATATCATCAAACAACTCGATCTGCGAGTGTCCCAATTGCGATACAAAGTCCAAATCCTTCTTCACCTAACAATCCAACCAGTAATTTGTCTCTACCGTCACCTCGTGCAAGTTCAGCCCTAAATTCACCCGCAGACTGCAATAGACAATTTCAACTTAATAATCAAAGAACTAGCCATCTACCAGGACAAAGTCCGACAAGTCAAGATTCCCCGAATCCAACAGTTGGAAATGCTACAGCTGTATCAACAACGAGACTTAATCATAGTAATCCGGGAACGCCTGTTTCTCATTCACACATGTCGACGCTTAGCCCTAGTGGAACAACTGCTCAAAAAGATTCCTCTTTAGACTTTCCCACCAGTCAACCTCCAAACGGTAAGATCAAATAAAAGAGTAATTATGTTGTTATTATCATAGTTGATTATATTATATCTTAAAATTTTTTCGATGTTTTAAATAATATTTGACACTGAATTGCATTCAAAGGATCTTAATGCAACAACTAAGTAACAACGAATCATTATAATTATTACGTAAAATATTTTAAAAGTTCACTGCTTAAAAATATTACGCGGTGAATTGATGGTGTTATATGTTACAACATAGTGGATGGTATGTTTTGCCGCACGCTGCAATCCTTAGCCCAGCAAAAGCACCCCACTGGAGCGGTGAATGCAGCCGGAGTTAAAGAAGCGAACCTGATGCCGGTTCCTAGCCCTCAGCAGATTCAGTATCTTAATACCTTCGAGGGACAGGAATTAACCATACAGAAACAACCAAATACAAGTTTGAAAGATGGCAATTTATCTACGTAAGTGTACTTCAACAATGCTTTAATCGTTGTATACATCTTAACACATATGATTTTATATTATTCTGTGTCTCTAGAAATGCGGCTAGCAATACAGAAATACCGAACAGAATTTTGCCAGGAACTTTGGATAACAGCAATCAATTTCCTGCTAGATCTGAGGGTGCAAGTCCAGTTCAGATGGACAGTATGAATCGTGGCTTTACAGGCTCTTTACACAGTCCACATACTCCACACACTCCACATACACCAGGCAATGGTGCTCCACATACTCCAGTTGATTCTGGCAAACCTGGAAACAAGTCTAGTGCGAGCGCACAGAGTAGTCCAGCACCGCACAATACGAATATACCAGATAGTATGGGCCCTCCGAGAACAGTACCAGCATCGCCTACTACAAAACCTGATACGTCTCCACCATCGACAAAAGATACTCAGCAACAACAAACTCAGCCTCAACAACAGCAACAACAACAGCAATCACAGCAACAACCGCAACAGCCACAACAACCTCCTCCTCCACAACAGCAGCAACAACAACAGCAACAGCAGCAGCAACAACAACAGTCTACAGTTGCAAACCCAAGTAATTCTGGAAACGCAACGGTGGGACCTCCATTAGGAGGTCCAAGCGCTTCCTTTCCTTGCGGAAGACCATCTATAAACGTGAGTCAACCTTCAGACAATGTGCCTCTTAATCCCAACAATATCGGAGGGCGACTCGGCAGTTTAACCGCAATGAGTACAAATCACTTCGATCCCATAACTTCCTTAGCTCAGATGAGTCAGCAACTTACTAACACAGCAGCTAGTAATTCATTAGGTAATGAAGGACCCATTCATTCTGGGAACACTGGAATGATGCAGTTTGGCAATCCACACAGTATGCATATGATGCAAATGGGAGGTGAAATGAATGGAAGTTGTCATATGGGTGGTCCGACCAGTGAACCGGGAGAAGTAGGAGGAATGTGTATGGGTTTGGCAGGGCCACCAACGAGTTATAGTCCAACAACTTCACACACAGGCAGTCCCGGTGTACCTAGCAAAATGGGTCATCCTATTATGGGTCACGGTATGATGAGTAGTCATTCGGGAAATGCAGCGGGCGCGTATCCTGGTAGCGACCCTCATGCACCACCGCCAAGATTAATGACAGGTCATGTGACTGGTCCTAGTCCTTACAACGGAGCGAACGTTCAAGTGAAACCTAGTGCTCCAAATACGATACAATATTTACCGGCAAGGCCCAATGTTGGTCATACACCTAGAGGGCCGCCGAGTTTGGAGTTCCTTCAACGATTCACAAATCCCCTGTCTAATTTAGAATCAAAGATGGGCACGCCGTCTGTAAATCTTCAGTACTTCCCAAACGGTTGTGTGCCGAACAGTATGGGCCCACATAGCGGCATGCCATCAACGATGAGCGGTGGACTTCCTGGCATGGGAGGCTCTCCGAGGATGGACGGGCAATCGATGAATACATCCGTTGGTGTGCATCCTTCGATGAGACCTGTCGGCAATATGAGACCTCAACCAAATTTAATGCGTATGCAACACATGGTTGGTGGTGGCGTCTTTCCAGGCGGTTCAATGGATCCAGATAAAGTCTTCCCACCTGACATGGTATCGCAAGTTCCCAGTCAACCAAATCCTGGCATGTACGTATCTGGTAGTAAAGGCAGTCCCATGGGATTAGGACCTCCCCCGGATGCGACTCAACCATTACCTCCGAGTATGGGTGGTGCTACTAGTAATTTCAAGAACAGCCCTTTCGTCGGTAGTGGACCTAGTATGTCGGATCCGAATTATGCTCAACAATTCCATAACTTCCAACAACAGCTTTACGCTACCGGGACAAGGGGTAGCGGACCGCCACATCCTAACTTGCATCCACCACCGAATTCGCATTCGCATCAGCAGTTCTTCATGCCGAAATAAAACGTGTCATTTGCCTGATCGAAGATAGACATCGCAATGACGATGATTTACGATTGTGGTGGCCTTTCTGTGTCCTTTTCGACAATTGCGTTTATTAATCCGAGAACAATTTTGATCATAAGAACGAACACACATTCTCGGAGTATGTAAAACTTTATATAAAATTATTGCGCGCGATCTTGTAAAGGACAAAGAAGTCAAATTTGTTAAGGTTCTAATGTTGATGTGATGGATAATTACGGAGAATAATTAATGGTACACCATTTTCCGCGGAATGGTTTATCGTGACTGGCGGTGGTAACGAGATTTCTCGTTCAATTCTTTATTTACGGTGTTGTTTATGTATGTGTTATTATATCGATAAGCGTTTTATTCTTAAATCATGACATTAAAGTCCCTTTAATGTCTCTCGCATCTCCAAAATCTGTTCCATCGTCTTAGAGGATATCGTTTTCTTATCAGAATTCTCTCTCTCTCTGTAAATTGGAAACATATTACGAATGTCGCGTGGCGTTACGCGATTCATGTAAATACTAATGTAAAATCTGATTTCTTCGTAGTAATCGTTATTTCGTCGATCGGAATATACGGTGATCGTTGCTAGAAACTTTCGTGGATCAGAAGAAAAATGAAAGAAAGAACGTGAACAAAGAAAGGTAAAGATGGATATAAATGCGTCTCCTCTTCCTTTTTATTCGAACAATTGCTCGTGATAAAGTAATTGTACGAGAATTAACGAAGTATTTGAAGGAATGACATGAAGATACGCCGGTGAACAACTCATCCTTCCTTTTATCACTAAATGATTAAAAAAAAAAAAACGCAGTCAAGCAAGCTCAAATTCATAATTGTACATATATACGATATATATTCCTGTTGCAACATACTCCTTAAAACAGTATCGCCCGTCCCTTCTGCTCCCTTCACTGATTCCCTCTCGTGACCAACACTGTGCATAATCATGACCCCACGTAGTGTAATGATTATAAAAAAAAAAAAAAAAAAAAGAATAATTGACTAAGAACAATTATGTTGTTGATGAATGATTTTTATTATAAATGAAAAATAAAGATATTTACAAGAAGTCAGTATCAGAATTGATCGATAATGAGTTTTATAATTATCTGAAAACGGATGTTAGATTTTTTTAACTATTTTTTTGTCTGTTAAGAACCGAATACTGGTTTTTAAACATGGTAACCTTGTATTGTGATTTTTTCTATTTAAAAAGCAGGCTGCTTCCAATTTACTCGGATCTGTGATAGTCAAAGCAAGAAAATGTATCCTTTTTTTTCTTCATTCTGAGGACATCAATACATATCCACATTCATTAGGGAATGATTCTTTAATACTACATTACATTTATTTAATCATTAGATGTTATGCATGAAAAATGAGAAATAACGATAGAGTGAGCGAGAAAGTGAGAAAGGGCGAGGCAAGAAAAAACAAAAAAAAAAAATTTTTTTCAAAGCAGCTTGAGCAATATTTTAAGCAAATCAAAGTGGCTACGAGTGTCGTGAATTTTGTGATAACGTAAATAGAGAATTTTTTTAAAAGTGTGACATGATGATAGAGAGCTTTCTTGAAGACTTTATATTTTGAGTTAGAAATAAGATTTCATCTATGTTCATAATTCAGAGTTTTTACAACGAGTCGTGTAACACATCATCCATAACATTATGTCAGAATTACAGGTTTCATTCTGTTTTTCTGTTTTCTTTTTTTTTTTCTCATTTACTAGCGAAATATTCTACCTGCGCCAAGTATTTTACGAATTTTCGCATTACTATGCAATATTTAGTACAATATTGCGTAAATAGATAACCTACGTTTCACTCTCTCCATCCATAGAGTCAAACAAAGCTATGAGTTCAGTCACAAAATGTAAAGCTTATTTGTTAATCGATTCCCTTTGTAATAAGTCGTATATTGTCCATCACTTTATCCAAAGGTGCTCACTAAATCACTAAATTTGTTGCGTTGTGTTATACCTCTTAGTTGTAGAGCAATTTTTCGCTCTTGGGATTTCCTCTCACCTGTAAAAAATCATTTATTTAACGAGTATTGTATTATAAATTCTTTAAAACTTGTTAAATCTATATCTTCCTTTTAACCATGCCATTATGAATCTAACATCTACTGGTTTCTAATAAGGGATGTGATAATACTGTCTCTAAAAGGCATAAGACAGAAATGTCATTTAACAATTTTATCAATTAATATCGCGATTCATTGTCGCAATCAATTTTATACCCGAAACCCATGTCAAACCTTTCCTTCTGCGTATTTTCTCATTGACTGGATGTTCCCGAATCGCGCCAGTCATCTTTATCTCTGTAAAAAAGAAATGTTACACTCTTATGAAAGCATTTGTTAAGTTTTTATTAGCATAATTATTTTTTTCTCAGATTATTTAGCAGTAATAAAGTTATTATTGGTATTTGTAAAAAAGTTTGCTGGACAATTATATAGGCTTTTCATTTTAATTGTTATTATTACCTTGATTGTTGTTCTTCTGAAGATGCAGTGCTCCCATTTGTACTAAAAATTAACACCATGTATTGTATTTACTACAGAAACATTAATCACGTGAACATTTACTTTTTCTTAACTGCGAAATCATCCCATTCACTAAGATCATATTTTGATAAATCGCCATCTTCTTCGTCGTCTTCCTCTTCTTCGTCTTCGTCCTAAAATTTAAAATGTATTTAACTTCTTAGATTATCTGTAAAAAGAAGTATGTTCAATTACATTTTGATCTTCTTCATCTTCCACTTCATCTCTTTCGTCTTCATCTTTAGATTTGTTACGCGATGGGCTGCTATACCTAGAATCTTTGGAATCATCATCTGAGCGATTTTCAATCTTTCGTTTCTTTTTACGGCGCCCAAATTCATCATACTCGTCATCATCATCCCTCCTTTCTTTATATTCAACGACTCCTCGGTCATTATATCCTCCCCCGTATCCCGTACGCTCTTCTATTTCTCCAAATTTCGGTGCATTACACATATTGCATTGTTGTCGTCGGGCCCAGTTTACGTTTCCACACTTACTGCACTGCCAATCGTCAGCACTAAACATAAAGACATCATAGTAAACAGTCTACCCTGTTATTCATGTATCTATAGTATTTACTCATTGTAAATATTTTACAAAAATACTAAGTATATTGAAAGTTAAGAGAAGTTATACAATATATTGTACAACTCTGTATATTATTGAAAATACCAATCATTTAAATAAAACTGATCAAATTATAATTATAATGTTACTTCTAAACTTTCGTTTCTAGAATATTTATTTTAAATTTATTTCACGTATGAAAGAATTTTTTTTAATTATATATATTTAATTATCTTTCTATTATTTACCTGAATAATCCTCTGCTTTTCTCTGCTGCTGCTTTACCAATTTCTTGCCCTAATTTTTTTTTCTTAGGACATTCACCTCTATCTACATGAAAATATTGCTTGTTAATTAATATATGTAATATATATTACTTGATTATTGTTATAATAATTTTTATATTATATTATATTGTTATAATTATTGTTATAATATATATTACATATATATTACTTAATTATAACAATAATCAAGTAGTAGTAAAATTCTAATACATAAAGATTATTAATGAAATTTTAAAGAAAATTATTTAGAAAGCATACATTACCATATTGACTATTATATACCTTTTCCACATCGATTACAAGAGTTTCTTCTTGCAAAATTTACATTGGCACATCTGAAATATTATATAGTAACAAAACATTATCTTAAATAATAATGTTATAACTTCATATATTTTAATATTAAAATTTATTAGTTCAAATTAAAATCTTTTAAGTCTTTAAAATCTAAAAAATTATATCAATAAACTATTTAAGTTAGTCTCAAACATCTTGTTATTCTATGTTCCAGTGAATACAACATTTTTTATTAAAATGTAAATAAAACATTAGTAAAGCACATGTAACAATACATTTGAATTTAACTAAATAAATAAAATATCTAGCTATTATTAGGTAAATAGCTATTATACATTTCATATATATTGTTTTTGTCAAATGAATATTATTACATGTCAAATTTTTTATTATACAATCCATATTAATCGTATTATTAATTAAACTAAATATTGTACATTAACATAGCTATAAGGCAAACAATACGGTTGCAATAGAATTGAAAATAAATACTACAATTATGTATAAAATTTGATCATAAAGCGTAAAGCTGATTTCATACAAGACGACGTTAGCTATAGAAAATTACGTACTGAGAATCGGGACAAATCCAATCCCCATCGTTAATATTACGTTGATTTTCGTCATCCACTTTACTATTATCCATTTTGCGTCTGGTTTTATTCTCTGTATATAAACGTGGGAGCTATTCATTCACAGTTGCATTGGACTTTACGGCTGGTTGTTCTTTTCTAATTGTATCTAACCTTCACAGTACATTTTTTATCTCGTTCAAATTGTATTAAAAAAATCAACTTGCCCCAAGCTTTTTTGATGTGCAATTTATTGAAACGCGTTTTACGCGCTATTATTTATTGTATTATGTCGTAGATATAAATTAATGCACCGAACTATGGAGTGCACACACTAATGCAACATTAATGGCACAACCACACTACTTACGCAGTGATAAGCCGAAATGTGATCTTAAAGTTTTAATAGTGAAATGCTTTTTATTTAATTAAAAAAATGCAGTGGTAAAGGTATAATAGTAGTCGATTAATTATATTTTTTAAAATAATTATTCGAATCTAATATTTAATGAATGCAAGTTGTATTCATTATGGTATATGTATTAAATTGGTTGCTAGATACAGTACTATATTAATTTACTATATAAAATAAGAGCTGATGACACTTTAATTGAAAAGTATTTAAAAAAGATTATATATACGTATACAAGAGGTGTATAAATTAAATTATACGATACACGTCATGAATTGTAAACTGTACATATTACCATATGAACATAGGCACTTAATATGAAATTTTAAATTGTGAAGAATATATCTGATGGATTTAAATACAAGTTCTTTATTTATAAAATTTGTCATTAATTAGATATTATTAATTAAATATTGTTAACAAATTATTTAATATTATGATTGTTAAAATTAGATATTGCAGAAAGTAGTACTAATACTTATTACATTTTTAAATTATGACAATGTAAGTTTTAATGTTGTACTATTAAAATAATGGATAATTATCAAATTTCATAGAATACATGCAATTTGTAGATTTATATATAAAATAAAATATAGAAGTAGTATTTTAAAAATAAAATTGTTGGATTTTCTAAATGTTCATAATATAATCTTTAAACTGCAATTCAAATAATTTGTAATTTTTTTATTTTATTAAAATAAATAGAATGAAAATACTAAAAAAATTTGAATAAATTTAATTTTGACACATTTAAAAAGATTTTTACAGTTATAATATTTAATTTGTACGCATGCGCATTGTACATATCAGTAGCAGCATAGGAATGGAATATACAGTTTCTAGTTAAGGTTAATGTTTCTTTCGAAGTAAACTATCATATCAAAAATTCATTTTTTGTCAAAACAGTGACAGATAATTATGGCGTACGTATTCTGACTGGTAAATTTTTTTTTAAATAATAGGAAAATAATGTATGTACAAATTAATATATAATTTTGAAATTTGTATACTTTCTGTTAAACATATGTTTCCGTAATGTATATAATTTAACTCAATAACTAATAATGAGAATATTAATTTGTTACAGGTCTAAAGTTACTTTTAAAATAACTCTTACCTCTGATCCAAAACTTCCATTTAAAGTGTAAGTTTAGTTACTGGTGCGACTTATTATTTCATCACATCATGACATCTTGAAACTTTTTTCATACGTACATAAAGTAACGCAAAATGTCAGAGGTTGATTTTTTCGAAATATTGAAAATGTTTAATACATTTCTTACATTCATAGAAAATCCAAGTGTTAATGAAGAAGTAAACATTGAAAATATTGTCAAAGTTTTTCAATGTGCTCAGTTTATTGAAATCACAATTGCTAAGGCATATGAAATAGGCAAAGAAAATGTTCTTGATAATAATCTTCATAGTTACTGGTTGAAAGAAGGTAGATCAAATTTGTATAAATGTTCTGAATTAAAATATGCCTGTGATAAATTATTAGAAATTTATTTGAAAGATACTAATATCTCAACTGATATCGTAGATGAATTTTTAAAATTGTATATTCAGTATTGTGGAATTGAGAGATTCAATGACTTTCTTAAACATGTATTAATTAATGGAATATGTACAAATACAGTTATAGAATCTTTAGAAAAATTAGGCATTTCTACTTTAAATATGCAGGACGAAGCTTTGATCATGTCTTGGGAATTTTTAATTAATAGTGGTAATGAATATGAGACTTCAGAATGTATTCATAAAATGTTTAATGATGGGTTTCATTTAAAATTAGTTCAATTTGCTGTTCATTTAAATGACAGCAGTAAAATTAAGCAATTATTAGTTCAACAATTATCAAACAAACTTGTTCAGAATGATGCAAATGTTTGCTTAGCTTTTGTAAATGTAAAACAAAAATTGTTTTTGAAGTTAATGCAAAATAATTCAGACCTTTACACAAATTTCCTTGATAGTATATTTTATTTTGCACGCCATATGAAACAAATTGAAAATCAATGGGTATCAGATTGTGAATTTGAATATGAACATCTTGTAAAAATAGTAGAAATATTATTAAAAGGTCCTACAGAAATTTCAGAAATAATACACAATCGAATGAAATTAGTAAAAACACATCCCAATGGTACAATATGGCATAGAATTGAAACAGATGTTAGATGGTAATAGCATAATCCATGTATAGTTATTAAAGGGAAATGAGAGTTTATATAAAGTTAATCAAATCAATTTTATTTCTTATTTATTTTGCTTTAATAATTATTTGTATAAGCTCTCATTTTTTAAAGTTAATATTTAATTTATTTTATGAATTAAATAAAGATTTTCTAATGATAAAATAAATATTATGCTTTTATAATTGCAGACTTAGTGTACCAGATAATACACCTTTCACTGCTGTTTTAAAATTTGCTGCTGAAGAATTTAAAGTATCTCCATCAACATCTGCAATAATCACAGATGATGGAATAGGAATTAATCCACAGCAAACAGCAGGTGAGTCTTTCATACTATAAAGCAATATGGATAAATTTCAGAATGTTATATTTACTGTATGATGAATTTCAGGAAACATTTTTCTTAAACATGGCTCTGAACTCAGATTAATTCCTAGAGATCGTGTTGGATATGGTAGATGATTTGCACAAGTTCTCATAATTCAATACATTGATTTTTCAAAATTTTCATCTATATATAAATTATTTCCTCGTTATATTTTTCATTAATAAGTGTAAAAAGACTACTTTTTCATATAAAACTTGTTATATATATATAAATTTAAATAAAAGTAATCCACAAGTTTTATAAACTGTACTGTTTAGTTGTATTGTTTTGATGATTTATAATAAATATAATTTCTTTTACTGAAACTTAAGCAGAAGTATTATGGAGGTAAATTTGTAAATATACACTCGAATATATGTGTCTGATAAAAAGATTTTATAAGTGAAATACATGTAAGAGGTATAAGATCGATACAAAGGTGTTGTCACTACATGATAAAATTACTTAGCAATCAGTCATAGCGCAATACTAAGAAACTTCTTGTTGCAATCGAAATAATCTTTCGGTACAAGATTTTCATGTTGCGACTTACGAAAGATCGTATTAATCATTACGAGTTATAAATCTACTGTCTATAAAGAAAGAAAATTTCGAAGTATGGGTTGCAAGAGATTTTTAAAAAGCATAGTAAGTTAAAAATAATTTTTATCTGCTCTATAATAATTTTCTCCGTGTATCTTCTTTTAATTTCATTAAATTCATTGATTCACTCAAGTGCAATAGAAAAAAAATCAAAAGTACACATAAACAAAATTTTTGTGCAATTTATACTGACTTCGAGATATTATTTTTACATACCATTTTATGAGTTTTGATCTGTGTATTATGTAAAAATCTACTAAAAGATACAATAGTGTAAAAAAATAAGACTAATAAAATATGCAACAATGATGTTCCTCAGTCCTAGAATATCTGACGGATAATTATTTAGCCATACAAATGTGAATTACAACGCGGACGATGTAAATAGCAGTTATATATTCTTTTTAATAGCGAAGTATTATCTTGTTCCTCTTTGTTTCATTTTTCTTTTATTTTTAATGCTTATAAAAATTTTGTTGTTACTTTCGATCTATCAGGGAAAACCTTATGTTCCTAAAAACGGTACAAAAACATGTGAAAAATGTAGAGAAAAATATACGCAACTTTCTTAAATGCCTTAAGATATTCAATCCACTGTATAAGAAACTTAATTTATAACTTTTTATCTTTCTTTTAATTGCTTCATGCAAATTTGGCACTCCTTAATTTCCTGTGATTAATTTTGCGTGCCTCTATTATGACAAAATATAAAATTAATATATTATTTTAAATGTTGTGTAAACTGAGCAATGATTTTATCTTTTCGAAGAACAAGTCATATGGTTTGTCGTACTTTCATTATCATATTTTTGGCGACTACAAGCTAAGATTTATCGAAGCGGTATAGCACCATCGGATTAATTTTTTTTTTTTACCTATGATTTATAAATTACTGATCAAATATAAAAGTATAAAATGTGTATGACTTTACCATAGGGGCGTAAATTCCATGTTTGTTCACAGACCTATTTAAAAATCGATACAATAAACTGGAGGGATTTTTATTTATACAAAATTGTTTTTGATCACATGAATAGGAACGTCATAGTATTCTTAGTAGTTACAAGAAACTATTATTACAGATGATTAGATTATTTTAGTGTTAAAAAATGATCTCTCTAAATGGAGGAGAATATGTTTCTATAAAATTGGAAACGAATATGCTTCATAGGAATAGTAAATCATTCTATCATTCTTAATTTCTATTAGATCATTAAAAAGTATAAATTTAGTGTATATTGCATAGACAAAATAGGTATCTTTACACTACTTGCAATCTAAAACATCGTTTTCCTGACTACTAACAAATATGGAATTTACGCCTCAACGTTTTAATTATAAATACGATTAACACAATGAATTAAAAGAATGGCTTCCTGTTATAGTACATTTGGTGAGTCTTCGATTTTTGTTTTTACAAATACTTTGGCGTAATTGAAAGAGTATAAAAGTTGATTTATTCGTTATATTCAGCACAGTTGTTAAATTATCGCTGAAGATCCTGAAAAACGCTGAACGTACAATGAGTTTATCATGTGTATACTTCGCTGTATAACATAATTGTCGACTTATAACTTAGTACATGTAACTATTTACGTTTTAACTATTATTTACCTCATGTAATTTGTGCGTGTATGAATGGATTGTAAAAATTTCTATTTTCGATTCATAAAAAAAGATATCGTTCGCTAATATCATACGTATGATGAGTAGATTACAGAAATGTATACACTGAGAGTATCATTGATAATATGAAATAAAGAAAGGGATACGTGGCACTAATATATATGTATATATGTATAAAATAAAGATTATACGTCATTTTGTCGAAGCTAACTATTTCAAGGATTATTGGATGATGCTTTATCTCGCAATAGAAAAAAGCAGTGCTTATTGAGCAATATTAATAATTTATAAATTACCTAGAAATATAAACTTTTTTAAATAATATTTTCCTCAAATAATTTCAAAAAATTATTAAATAATTCAATCTGTTTCAAAAATATTTTAAAGGTGTCTGTTCAACCAATGCTCGTTTTTAAACTTCCTATATTTTTAATGTAACAATGGCATATTTTAAAACATTTCCAAATCTTAGAAATAAGAAAACTATATTATTTAGTAGATATATTTTTACTTAGTGCGACAAACATTCTTTGCTATAGTACCAATGACCATGATATTACAAACATATGAAACTATTGTCAAATTCTGATGATTATCTGTAAATCTAAATTTCTAGTACAGCTCTTACGATAATTATCTTATGTAGTTATTCTCAATACCAAATAAATTATAGAATGGCAAATAATAAAAATCATTTATAATGGAAACTATAATTGTCTCTTTTTGCACGAATCTGTCCATTGAATTACTAAAATATGCTAATATGAAGTTACAAATATTTTTTGTCCTTCGTTTCCTTTAAATTAAATTTGTACGATAATCTAGGTTAATTATACATATATTAAAATATTAATAATACACCTGAAAAAATCGCACATGTTATTAGCATTTTTAAACAAGGATCTTTTTTGAAAGTATCATTCTAATTATAAATACCTCTCAATATGTACGACATTAATATCGAAATATTTCCGCTTATGCCGTAACTTTTAACTTATAAATAAATTATGTTCCAAACAGCTACATTTAAATTTATTTTATCTTACCATTGTATTTTAATGACCTACCAATATAGCGCAATCTTCACTCATCCTATAATTAAAATAATAATAAAGTAAAAAATGTTTAGGTTTCAATGTATAATGAATGATATAATCCAAATTATTTTGCATTATAATACAGAAATGACTTTGTTTAGAATTATACAATAAATATTACCCACCCATTCATGCTCTTCTACACCTTCCATATGATCCTGTTCCAAGGAGCACTGTATAACATCGCCTACAAAGTTGCTCATAGTTTTTTGGATCTATCACATATATATTAATTAATAACACACTTAGAAAAAACGAGATATATAACAATGAATTCTTCAAATTTCAGTTTAAAAATTCAATACAACTTTACAGATAATTCGTCACAAAATTGTGCCTCATTATAATTTAACCTTTTCCACAAAATTTTATAGTAAAAATTATAAAATGTACACTATGTAAAAAATTATAGTATCCTATATAAGGTTTTTATATTTCATAACATAATATGATACTTAGACATACAATACATGCTAAATCATTTTTAAATATTTACGCACCTCTTCTTGCTTAGCTTTCACATCAGGATTCCATCCCAGTCTATTAAATGGTTGGGCAGATACAGAAAATGGAGTTGTTGATTGTTGTTTTGCTGCAACTGGTGCACTAACTACACTTTGGCCTTGATTTTCAGTTACTACACATAAAATATAAATATTTATAACATTTTTAATAAAGTAACTGTTAATTTTTACTCACAGTTGTCCATGCCAGGTGGTTTCAGGCTTATTCTATGCGCTTGTAAGTTATTTCCGATAAACCATTCAGTGGCACTCATAGTTGGCTTCCACGTAATTTTCGTTGGTGGGAACAAATCGTCTTGAAAAAGTTCACTCTGAAACAGTTGAAATTAGTTTACTTCTTTTGCATTTTCAAGTATCATAAAATTTACCTTTATACGTGGAACAGTAAAACTCAAAGGTTCTATTGTGTTATTTGTTAATCTCAAAGCTGATGCAAATTCTACACTAGCAACATCGCATTTATTCTTAGGAAGAAAAGATAAACCCTGATGTAAACTACTACATCGATGATGACTAAGTGGACAGCAATATGGAAGTTCTTCTGTTATTTCAAAAGCATATATTGTAGAATCACCCTAAAAATATATTTTGAATAAAAAAGATCTTTATCATTATTATATTTCAAACTTTTAAATAAAAAGCAATATTTACGCGTCCTGTTAAGAAAAGGGTTGAACTGTCTTCATCATAATATGGCATTAAAATAGCAGGTGAGACGTCTAGTCCAACTGTAGTTAATGGAGTATTAAGATTGTCTGGTTTAAATATATATATTTGCCTTTCTGAAACTCTGAAAAAAATATAAATAATAAAAAAATTATCGTACTATAATTTAAGCAATAGCATAAGGTATTAATATTAAATATACTTGTCAAAACCCAATACAACGAGAAGTTGTCCTTCCAATGCCCATACAATTCGGGCACCTCTAGTACCAACAGGTCCTTTTCCAGTTTTAACTGGAATGTGGCTAAATCTCGGTTCGTAAATTCTTAATTTTCCATCTTTACATGTGCTCGCAAGATATCGACCACATGGTGACCACGCTAAACTAAAAATCTGATCGGTATGTCCGGTTAATATTATTCTTGCAAGTGCCCTTTCGTAGAACGACAGAAATGACAGATCCCAAATTTTTACGGTCATATCGTAAGATGCCGATGCTAAAACATCTGATGCCAGTGGATGAAATTTTATTAAATATATTTTATCAGTATGAGCTTGTATTGTGTGCTTTGGTTCATTTGTCGGCTCTGATAATCCAAATACTGGTATTTCCCAAAAACGTATCATTCCATCACCGCATGCTATTAGTAAATAATAATTATAAATGATAATAGTGATAAATAATAATAATTAATTAACACTAAACATACCATGGATGGTTAAATTTACTGGTAGATGAAAAAGGAAGGAAGAATCTTAAAAAAAAAAAAAAAATGAAATAAGAAAAAATACTGAAAAATTTATTATATTTATACTAAATGACAAATCACGTAGTCAAGTGATCAAAGCGATAACATTGAATGTGGAATTTTAAATCAAAAAAGTTTAAAAATAGTCATTTAAGCCTTAGTAGGTTTAGTGTTAATAATGTTTTTATTATAAAATATCATAATTAAAAAATTCCTTTACCAACAGCTAATAGCTGATTATTAAATGGATTCCATTGGAAATCCATTACAGTGGCACCATGTACTAATGCTGGCATTACACCATCTGGTAATCTCCCAGTTTTTCTTAATTCAAGAACTGCTATTTTACCACCTAGTCCGCTAAGTGGTACCGCAACACGATCTGGATTAGCTATAATCAATTATTAATCCAGTTGCAGTAAACGTCTTGTATAAGATGTAAAATATTCTACATAAAATACAAATTACCATGAAAACCATCACATTCTCCAGATATTTGTCGACTAATGTTTCTTATATTTTCAATATGCGTAGATTTATGACCAGGTGTACCTTTCAAATGTCGAAATTTTGATACCCTACCTGAATACAATAATTATAAATTATTAATGTACTTCTTCTATAAAAAGAGTATTTAAATTGTATATATATATATATATTTTACCAAATACAGTCGAAGTTCTTTTAGGCGTCGGTGTTACAGAATTATCCACTTTTTCTAAACGTGGATCTACGCTTTGTTGGCGTAACATTGAAATAACTTTCTTAACTTCTTCCTTAATCACTTCAGTTTTGGTTTTAAATGAATCTCTACGTCTCAACATCGTTGGAGATCCCATTGCTTTCTCTGCTAAGTTTCCATCAGTTACGGACACAGAACGACTTTCATAAAGCCTTCTTCTTTCAGCAATAGAATTTCTATTTGCATTGCCGCGTTCAAAATTTCCAAGATCCTCATTTTCAGGCGATTCATCTTTGACTTTTATTTCAAAAACTTTACGCCTTTCTGCAGTACTTGGTGTTTTCGGCTTATAACCAGAATCACTCGAATTTGTATCCTCCTCCAAGGCACTAGAGTTGCTTTTTCCATTTTCCGTTTCTTTAATACGTTCATTATTAAACGATGGTGATTTCTCTGGTTCTGTGCTATTCTCTATTTGATTATTTAAATCATTTTGATAACCATTAGTATCGTTATTTGGTGCAACAGGAACCGAAAAAATTTTGTCAAAAGAAAATTCTTGATTGCCAGATTTTGCTTGAAATGGTTTTGGTCCAAGTCGAGGCTAAAAAGAAGCAAAAATTAGCTTTTTTTCTTTTTTAAATATGAACTTATTACTATTAAATTGTTTATGATAATATATTATGATTGTAATGAAACAAATGAAACAGTATATAAATGCACACAATATCATCAAGCATACAGAAGTAGAACATTTTGCAAAATAAAATTCTTTTTATATCATTATTTTCTTTATAGCCAGATTATAACCTTATATCCCCCAATCGCGTTAGGGTTCACAGATGTAACTACTGAGCCCACGTTTGGTGATGTGCGAGGTCGTGCAACTGGTTTCGGTTCATCCTCAGAAATGCTATTAGTTCTTGATGATCTTGGCAGAGGCTGTGGTGGAATCATTTGCCCTCCGTTTTGCACCTTATTTTTGTCATCTTCAACTTCGATTTTCTTTGATTCTTCTAACTTTTCAATATCATTCTCGAACACCGACTCTTTTTCATTCAGTTCTTGTGTCTTCACGTAAGTTTTCGGCACGGTAGCGGATACGGTCTTCGATTGCTTCTGCTCCATTTCTATTTCTCGTTCATTTTCTTTGAGGGTTGTTAAGTTTCCTTTATGTACCTGAGAGTACGGTAAATTCCTTAATGTCGCAAACTATTTAAACCAAATTAGCAGCCTGACTTCCACAAGATTTTTTCTACATCGATGTTATGGAATCTCTACAAGCTTATTACATATACATACACATCATTTGCATGTTTGCAATCACAAAAAAATGTAAAGAAATAATACAGATATACGACATTCTTACATCTACATTTTTTTTACACTTAACCGCAACAAAAATGTTCGAAAATATATGTACAGAAAGAAAGAGTATATTGAAGCAATTGCCTAAGAACACAAGAATAACTGCTTCGCGCGTCATACTTAAGATTACTTACGCTGATAGAATAAGCTACAGAACATCAATTGCCATTTAAATTACACGTGCCAGGAATAACACTTTGAATGGTGCTAACGTATAAACTATAAAACATACATTGGGTATCTGAAACGTGAAAAAATATACACAGAACATGAGGAAATAAAATCAAACAATGCAAAATAAAACGTACATTACCCAAACATTATCCAAAACATTTTTAAATGAAATGCATAAAAAAATTATAAATTTACAAGACAAAATAATAAAAATATTTAAATTATGTTCTACTTCTATATTACTTTTCTATGCATGTATATATACCACATCATATAAATAGCAAAGTATCAGAAAACAATACACAATCTTCATTTTTATTTTGTATTTGTTAATTTTATTTAATTGCATTCTCTAATCTATTGTTATTATTCATTTAACACTATAATATACAATAAAAATTAATTATAAATACAGTTAAATATTACACAACACATTGAAAAAAATATAAAAAAGAAAATAGTTCTAAAAACTAATTTCAGAATCAGCAAGCTGAGTAGCAAAAATAATGAAGTGAGATGATGATGATAAGCGTGCAAGTTAATAAAATCACATATTTATAAAAAAATGATCAATTCTATGATTAAAATAATTAATATTCTTTTATACAAAATTCTACTGTATTTTATACATTTTTTTTTATTTAAAAATGCCCAAAAACTGTAGAAGTAACTACTCACAGTAATGGGTTCCTCCCCTTTATTTCTTTTGGCAGGATCTAACGATATTTTTGGGACAGGCATATTATGCCCTTTAATCCAAGCTGCTGCATTATTTTGTGCAACACATCCTACTGTATCTGGATATATATCTGCATGAAAGTCTCTGTAAGTCTAAAATTGAAATTTCAACAATTTTTAACTTTAATAAATACATTGTAAACATCATTTCTATAGTATAATGCTTACTTTTCGTGGAACTTGATACATTATAGGTATCACCATATTTGAAGTGAGTTGTAATAATCTATTAACTTCAGCTTGCATTACGTTTAATGCTCGTTTTGGTACCAAACATACTCCCTTTGTTTGTTCTCCACTATGACGAATACCTTCAACCATGAATGGGTCTTTATCCATAACTTCCATATACATAATAGTAGTATCTCCTTTTCCAGCCAGAAAGAGCATGTTTGTATCAGGATCAAACAGTGGCATTAAAATTCTATAGAATGTAATATGTATTATAATTATGATATAATCGTTTAAATAAATATTTTATAATGAATTTTTACCCTGTACTACAATCCAATTCTAATGGTTTCACTGGTTCATTTAGATGTCTCAGATCTCTTATATAAACCTGTCTTAGTCTTGCTGCATCAAATCCTGTAGTGAGTATTCTATCACTGTTGTTTAACCAAACACATCTAGAATCCTTGATACTTTGATGACTGGAACAGGAATTAACAATACAAGTAGAAGCACGAGGATCTATAATTCTCACTTGTTTGTCTTTGCAAGATGTAGCTAAGAGCACTCCATCTTGTTTCCAACTTAGAGATTGAATGACATCTGTATGTTCATTATTGGCTGTAATATAATAAAGCAGTGTTTAATAAGTTGTGCAGTATTATGTAGCACAAAATATAATATTTTAATTACAAAATAATTCTTGTTGCGATATCACATCCCATAAAGACAGATTTGTGTATGATACTGTTGTAAGAAGATGTTCAGCTGAAGGATGCCAACACACCACTTCTACCCTTCTTTGATGATGGTAGAATGTACATTCAGGATTATTTAAAGGTTCCTCTAAGCCAGATTCTGGAATATGCCACAGTTTGACCTAAAATGTCAAGTTATAATACAATTAATAAAATAATAAACATAGTTATACACTAGAAAACATTATGATTTACAAGACAATCTTGTGAACCAGTGGCCAATAAACCATCATGAAATGGGGAAAAATCCATATCTGTTACTGTATCTGCATGAGCATGAAGCAAAGGCATAGTTTTGCTTTTACGGCCACAATCTTCCAATGGCAACACAGCAAGATTAGATCCTGAGATAAAAGAAATAAGAAGAAAATAATATAACATAAAAATATTAAATATATGATATATATTAAAATATATGAATATACCATTATGATCCACATTAAATGCCATAAATGCAGCTGATGCTGCAATGTTATTGCCATAAGTTTGATAGGAGCCAACTGAGATGTCTCTAATGCAAGCTTCTGGTTTGGGGACAATTGGAGCTGCATTTTTATATTTAGATGCTTTAAAACGCCAAGCCATTTTGACGTTTTCAACTATATAACTTCTGGATCAACTTCTGTTTAAATCATGTAATCTAATAAAAAATAATGCAGCACATAAACAACTTATCTCTTTAATTTATATTGTATTCAATAACTTTCTTAAATAAAATATTCAAAATAAAATGAAATGACAATATTTTTATTTCTTCAAAATTTTTAATTAAATTGTGGCAATTAGTTGAATTATTTTTTCTTTAAAATATATAGAGAAGATAACGCTAGCAAAGATACTGGTACGAAGCTGTGCATGACTAATAATTTGGGGGGTGAGAACCACCCCACCCTTATCCGTGTAGTTCCATAAGTAATAACAATGACAGTCGAAAATAATTTCCAAATCGAAAAAACATAAAATCAAATAATGTTTGTACTTACAAGCTACTATTTGGCGTGGCTTTGCACGCTTCTCACGAAATATTAGTATAGAATTAAATCTAGTAAAGTATCAACTACTATAAACACAATGATGATAGCAGGTAGGCGTCTCTGATCTCCACGACTGACAGGCGGAAACAGGAAAGTCCCCCTCCAAGAGACTTCTTCTATCTCTGTCAATCATAAGTAACATCATACGTGTGTTCCAAAAAAATAAAATGTTATATCAAATTAAAGAATAAAAAATTTAAATTCTGATAAAATATTTAATGCATAGAGACAAAAAAGATTTAAATTATTCTTGATTCTTTTTAGTATCTATAATACTGCAAAAATATTCTAAATTATTTAATTTTTAAAGAATACATTTTAATACTTTATGTTCTTAACAAAAATATTAATAAATAGAAACTAAGAGCAATATATTCTCTACTCAATATGGTTACATGAAGAAAAGTTATATTAAATTGAATATACAAAATTGCTTTTGCTCTAACAATTATTTTAATTTAACTGAAAAATATAAATGCTATTTATTGAACTAAAAAGTTTGTATTCATTATGTTCTATTAAAATTACATCTATAAAATTTATCGCATTTATAGAATCTTTTTATTTAATATATGTACATTCGTATTTGTAAAACACCCAGTATATGTGCAGTTATGTTCTGAAATCAGCTGCAAGTACAGACAATATTGGTTATCATTTCAGCCATATATAATAGAAATGGTGATAATTTCAGCATTGATGAAATTAATGATGTCGACAAATTTATGCATTCTTTAAGTTACTTATTCCTTCTATTAATTAAAAATACTTATAACTTAATGAATTACTCATTTGAATTTTAGTAATAGTAATCTATAAATCATGAACAAGAGGCATAGATACATATGTACGTATCAATGCAAGATAAAGATTGTGTTCAAACGTTCCTACTTAAATTAAAAATTTACATTTACATGAAGTATTCGTTTTTCATTGAATGTTATTCTCTTAATAAAGCTAATTGCACTAATGGAACAACCTTTAAGGACGATAAGTCTGCTAAAACAGCCTAAAAATAAACAATTAGTAATAAGATATCATATATGTTATTAGTAAATTATTTCTTTACCTCAACACACTGTTGATTATTGACTTGCATTAAATTTTCTTTTCGGAAACTTAATATAGTGACCGCGAGTAAAGGAATAATTTCTAGCGAATCATATCCTAAAATTAAGTCCCAGAGATAAAGTAACTGTTCTGGTGGTAAATGGCCACTAAAACCTCTCATGATCCATTTAAAAACAATTTTTACCCTAAAAACAGACATTAGTTGATTTTATGATGATACAAATGTATACAATAAATCGAACTTACGGTTGTATGTGAATGTTTCTAAAATGAATCCAAAGCAAAGGTTCATGACACTGTAATAATCTCTCAAAAAGCAAACACAATGCTACGATACCTTGTTCATGACTAGAAACAGTGTGCAATCGAAACCAATATCGTAAATAAAAAGCTCGAAACGTGTAATACATTGCACATGGATTATCGTATAGATAACAAAATGGGGTAGCTGAAAAGGATATATATTTTAATAGTAATATTAGTTATATTATAGTTGAATTCATTTCTTTTATTTTTATTGGCTCTATCAGATTTTTGATATTTATTTCAAATAATTTTCAATTTTTGATACCATACATGGTGAAGCCATGAAATGGAATCACACCACTCGGTGGAAAAACTAGTGTATTTTCTAAAGTGGCTGGTTTTCCTTGAAGTACAGCATGTATTACTTGACCTCCAGCACTTCTATCAGTTGTAACTGGGGCTAATACTTCCGAATCTCGGGAAAAGCATAACATCGTTTTATATAAAACGTCCTCAAATACAAAATATTGATCGTCGTTTCGTGCTGTTAGCTGTACATCCTGAAATAAAAAAAAAAGAAAGAAAGATGAAAAATAATTAAAATTTAGATAATAATAAAAAAGAACTAAAACATTATTTAAATGAGTTTAAAATTGTAAACAAATTCACTACCTTTATTATCAATTTATCTATAACGATATCATACTGTAACACCATATTTTTTAATTCTTCGTAATATTCTAGATCCTAAAAAAAAGAAAAAGAACATTCACATTGTACTTTCCTTTTTTTTAAGTAATAAAGTTTTTACATTTTCTTTTACTGTGGATCCTAGTACAAGAGACCAAAGCTGTCCACGAAGAGCTCGAGGTGCTCCACGTTTTAGAAATTCTTGCGCGATCGGGGCGTGATTCGATTTTAGAACTTTTTCACCTATGTAAATCCTTTCTTCCTCTAAATTTGCAAAATTCTCCGAACTTGGCATTTCGGGATTCACTCCTAATAATGACATACCCTTTGCTAATTCCACATATAAACGTCTCTATAAAAAAGATAATAATAACACATTATATATTGTACGTAATTTATATATATTTGTTTACTGAAAAATATATAATAAAGAAAGATACCAGATACGTGAGTGTTTTTACACGAATTTGTATGTGACTAAATTCCCAATTTAATTCGTCTCTAAAAAATTATTATTGTTTTTAAGGTAGAAAAGAATAACATAATTATAACTAAAAATAATATATGTATATACGGTTGTTTCTTGAAGGAAGGATTTCGGATCGAAAATAGTACATCCAGGAAGTCTTTTGGGGCGTAAAGTGGTCTATATTGTGATAGATCTAAATATTGAATTAAATAAAATTTAGATTTATTATGATAACATTTTTATTAGAAATTTTACTTAAAAGATCAATATTAAGATCACCGATATCGTAAGTACTCAATTCGTTCCATTTTTCAGAAAGTTCTTCACGATCTGCATTTGGTCTTATGCGTGCCAATGGCACATTTAATTCATTGCATGTTGAATTTAATGATTTTTGTATTCTACGTTCCCATTGAATTTGAGCTTTTTTTAAATAAGTTAAATCTACTTCTTCTGTGAGTTGTTCTGATACACTAGATAAAGATCCCTTAAAAAAGCAATTGAAAGAATATCTTACTTTGACCAAAATTTTTAATAAAAATTATTCATACTTGCGATCTAGCCCAGTGAAATACCGTATTTCTAATTTCCGTTTCTAAACCATTACTTTTTAACGCATCTAGCAACGTGTCTTTAAAATCTTCCCTTTTTACTGCAGTAGAAGCAACAAGTTTCTAAAAAACAAAAAGATAAAAGCTGTTACGAATGTTTTTAATTTTTCGAATATTTTATATTTCCGGTTTCCATATTAGGAGTGTATTATAACTCATTCGAAATCGACTTCTAGTTGAAATTGTTTTTACTATATCGCAAATAAGCACTACTCTGAATACACAATTTCTTGTTTTAAAAATTTCATACATATTTATTATTACTAATTTTAATAAGTGGATATTGTATATGTACCTGAATTTCAGTGTAAAGGCTCTTATAATTAGCCATACTTTGTATTTGCTCCGTTAATTTTTCCGCAGATTTTATTAAGAATGCCTTTTTAGACTCTTCCATACTATTGGCCATTCTTATATTTTCCGAAAATTTCTATTCCGTCCAAATTGTTTTGTAACTAAATCCGAAAAGTAGTCGCCATTTGTAAATAAATTCATTTCCGCAGTCGCAGCGATGAACAAAGGGGTGAGTTGCGTTTCCGTTCGCGCGACTAAATATTCAGACTTAAAAATTGTTATTTCATATTTAATTTATACGTAAAAAAATTTGCAATATTTTATAAGTTATTAAAATATATTCTCTACATATTATATAAAATAACGCTTACACAAAAGACAAGTTTTGTTATTGAAATCTCTAACAAAAATGATTATTAAAAACAATTTAAGTTTTTTTATTACCGTGACATTTTGGATTCGTACAGTTAGGGGACTTTCTATGGAGTATATTTTTTTGAACATTCGAACGATCCCGTGCCGAAATTTCAGGCCGGTTCGCTCGCAGGAAAATGGCGGCGCGATAACCTGTGTTTTGAAACGTAACGTTGGACGTGATTGTAATCAGAAACACGTCGAAGATGGATATTTCAAGTATGCTTGAAGTGCAAGTGAATGAAGTAAAGGAGGTGGACAGCAAAGAAAATGGTGAGATTGTATAATCTCGCAAAATGACTTTGTACAAATTATTGTGAAATATAATGTCTAACCTACTTCATATTCCAGTAACTCCTAAGGAACCACTTCCAAGTACGACAAATGTTCCATTACCAATTTCTCAAGAAGAATATAGCTTCTATAAGCTTATGTTTGGCAACGGTAAATCTATATTTTCTTATAACTAATTTTTATTGTTTGTTAATTTGTTCCGCTTCTACAATTTTGTGACATTTATTACGGTACGGTACTTTCTTTACATATTTTTGCGATTTGGAGCATATTGTGCGAATTTTTAAAATAGCAAACATTGCATAACAGATAACATTACGATAATTTTATATTTCACGAATTTTTTTATCGAAGGAACATGTAATATTGATCTAATGATGCCTATAATTTTTTATTTTCTATATCGTTTTTAATACAATAAATGTTGTATTATCACAGATGAAGTTCTTTAAATTTCAAAGTATTTAACTATAGGATTAATAGATAAAAAAAATAAACTTTTTAATAGCTTCAAATTTGGGCCTTTTAGATGTCTCAAAAGTACGATTTCAAAGACTACATTGTACAGCATGTGATACACATATTGGATCTGCACCAGCAGATGCGCATAACATGTTTGAACATCCTACATTACGTACATTGTTATGTGCAAAATGCAGAGAGTTTTATGGAGATGGCACCTTTGAACAAGGTACACGCATTATTTAAATTTAGGTGTAAAAAGGTTTAGTTAACTTTTATGGTGTCTTTTAATTATATTTTGCAGGTGATGACGCAACAGATATGTTTTGTAGATGGTGTGCAAATGGTGGCAATTTATATTGTTGTTCTTTCTGTAGTAACACATTTTGTTACAAATGCATCAAAAGAAACTTTGATCCTGTATTGAGAAAAAAGATTGAAGCAGATGAAAGATGGAAATGTTTTGTCTGTGATCCCACAGACTTGTATAGTGCAAGAGGAACTTGTTGGGCTTTGCTCCAACATATTCAAACAATGAACAGGTAAACAATGATTACTAAAAGTAAAATAAAAAATATTTAATATATTTCATAATTATATTTAATAACATTTTGCATATTTTTAGATTATTTCAAAATACTTGTAAGCTATCCCAAGAAGAAATAGATGAAAAAATGAACACTGATGAATCAAAGTGTTGCCCACGCAGAAGGAAACGAAAGCGCCGAAGAAATGGTTCAAATTCAGAAGAAGATGATGAGACTTATATACCCAAACAAATAACACCAAATGTTATTTCTAAACGTAGAAAAAGAGGTCGTGGAAAGACAAAATTCTCTAATGGTAGCAATATGTCCATGTCTGATAAATTTAATAGCGGAATGTCAGAAGACTCTTCTGTGGATCACAGTGAAATATTACCATCTTTGCTTTCATGTGAACAGACGATGGTTGAATGTGAAAATGCTACTGTTAGTGGAGATGGTACGATTATTTCACAACCTCAGGTAAATCCAGGACATCATAGGATGAATTCTTCTATTACTCAGCAATCAACAATGTATAACACATCTGTTGTGAATGTCGTTGCAAACTCTAACTTTTTGCAATCTACACCCACTATTGTACCCCTTCGTCATATACCTAACTCACTAAAACAGGCAAATCAAGTGAACTTATATCAGACACTACATTCTGCATCAACGCCGATGGTCGCTATACCTAATCAGAATGTCAAGATATTAGATCGATCACGTTTTTCTTTGAGCGAGTCGCAGAAGTCACGTAAAAGTACGAACCTGAACGTCATAGAAATTGAAAGCGATCCGGAAGATTTAGCAGTTGTCGGTCCGTCACGACTTCAACGTCCTCTTAAAAAATATTATAATACCCATAAAGCTGTACCTGTTGCTCTTGTAAGTTCGAAGAATAACTATAATAATGCAAAGAGACAAGAGATACAAGAGAGGCGCAACGCGAAAACATTGAACCAAAGGTTGCTTCCTCATGGTAAAGAGATTAATAGTATTTTAGTGAATCTAAAGATGAAATTCCAGGGTTTATTCGACACGACCAAACGAGAAGAACTTAAGAAATACGAGCTGAATGATGCTCGTAATTTAATTAAACAGTTTCATTGCGAAATACGTGACACTGTGACTCAGTTAGCTTGTATTAATGATAGAATAGTACGTGAATACAATAGATGGAAGAGATATCAGGCAAAAGTGAGAGTTTCTCTATCTTTAAATACAGATAATACTCGTAAGAAGATACAATGCAAAGAGATACCTCTCGATATGACTTGCATTAATGAATCCGATACAGAATCCAATATTGGTAACGAAATAGAATACAGTATTATGGACCCATCCGAACTGGTTGGTACTACGAATGCAGTTGATGGAATAAATTTCTTCAAAAAGAGAAGTACCATAGAACGTGGTGTGGGTGATCATCCGGCATTGTTGGTAGATAAATCGGTACAGATAAATACCATGGAATTACAAGATTACGATAGGTGTATAAGGCATTCTACATTAAAGAAGGTGAATCAACAATCAGATAAAAAGAATGATACGCCTATTAAACAGGCCAATAAGCAATCTGCAAATTACGAAGAACATTTTATTCAATTCTTACAAAAGCAAAATTTGAAGTCTCGAAGTATGCAAGCTGAAAATTTAAAAGAGTTACCTGATCCAAACGAGACGTCACTGAAGGATTTAATAGAGGCTAATTCACCCTTCATTTCCGAAATGTTAGAAACTATGGATAAATCGGCAGCTTCAAGTAGTAATAGTAACTTGAGTATTTCTGTTAAGAGGGAAAGCGATTTGAGATGCTATGAACCACGACGAAAAAACTCAATTACTTGCAAAGCTGTTAATGATCTTGTAAAGATGGTTAGCAATATAAACGATGACTTAGAAAAAAAGACTGTCGCAAATGAATCCATTGGTAATGATTTGCAAAAACAATCTGAAATACAAAAAAGACATTTTTCTACTGCTAATAAAGTTTGTGTGATAAATGTGTCAAAAAATAATGAACAGAATTCAAGCAAAACTATTGCCATAGAATTTGAAAGCAACAATGAAGATGACTGTACTATTATCGACAATTAATTAAATTAATTAAATAATAGTTATTCCATATATTTCGTGAGTTTTATTAGTACTCTAATCGTTTTCGAACTTCTGTCTACTTACTGATTGTAAGTAAGCAATTGTACGAGTATTGCTTTAAAAAATTGCATGTTATATGTTAAAATCAGTATCACGAATAATGTTTTATTTTTATTTTGTTTGTATTTTGTAATACTTTCCCTTTTTAGTCTTGTTTATAGTAACTTATCAATAATTATGCTATTGGATATTTGCTTCACTTTTTATAAGGTAGTCATTGTTAATATCTTAAAATTACTATAATAATTCTCGTACATTTAATCATGTTAAAAAAATTCCTAATCGATTATTCAAAATTTTAAATATATCTAGATATACATTTTTCATGGAGATATACAATAACATAAGAATGTCAATGAAAATACTTGGTTTTAAATATATAGTTAGTTGTCATGGTCGGTTTTGTACAAATATTACTTAATGAACAATGTAAAAAGTTTTAATAATATTTTGAAAATAATTTTGAAATTGTTTTCGTGTGTGTAAGCACTTATTTCTATTGGGATGAGACATTTCTTACATTCATAAATTTTGCTTATAATAATTTTTTAGATTTACCATTTCACAATTACCATTGTAAAATTTGATGAAGTTTTTCCTGCATTTATATGTGAACATTTCCAATGTCTACATAAATATGTAACGATATAGCCACATTTAGATAGGTAATAAATGTACAATGATTGTAAGCGAATATGCGTGCAAAAAATGGCAGAAGAGATGGCCATGAAAATGTTGATCGTATTTTATATGTCCTAACGTATTTTATCCATAGTAACATATTAAAATGATATTTCGAACTATAGTAAATAGTAAATTCATCTGTTAACTAGAAGTAAAGCTGAATTTAAAAAATAAATTTCTTACAAACGGTTTAACACGGCTATTTTTTCAGACTTTGTAGAAAAGTGTTTATTTTGTTCTACTTATTTTTTATTTAAAAGAAAAATTTAACAGAAGGAAGGTACTATTGGAATCCATGACAAATTTGGATCCTACTTTTTTGACAAATTTAATTGTATTATTGGGTCCAAAAATTAATGTTTTGCTTATTTTATTTATTTGTTGTCTTCTGTGTACACACATGTTGACTCCGCAAATCAATATATTACTTCTTTTTATCCTTTAATTAAGGTCTTACATCCTACATACAGAGGCAAATATTTTTCAATAGATACATACAACAGGTCCGTAGAAATTTTTTTTAAAAATACGTCATAACACGTAATATCTACGTGATCGCAGTCGAGTATACAAAGGATTGAAATGCAATAGAGTTACGAAACATCGTAGCTTTTGGCGACATTAATAAATCGCTTGTGTACCTATAAAAAGATACAAAGATTGAGAAGACGAAAAAGCATTATAAATGTTGCACTTAGAATAATAAAGATTGGGTAGTATTACTATCCCATAGTAGTTTAGGTACAAGTACTCAAAAACTATTAAGTAAGCAATGTCCTTTGCTTTGTTTTTTTATATTGATTTAAATTAAAGTGAATATAAAAAAATAATTCCTATAATAAAAAAGTAATTTTGTCTTTTTCTACCAAAAAAATAATAATTCACGAGATGATATGCATAAAAGTTATGAAAACTAAAAAATGAAATAATTAGAAAAAGGTACTTTACCTAGTATTTGAGTATTTCTACCTTTTCAATTCTGTAATCTCATTTCGGTATTGACAAATGTAGTAAAATCTCGCTTCGACATTTTGAAGTACATTTTAGCAAATTAATTCTTAGAAATTGTATAAATGAAATCCATGGTAGTATCAAAGAGTAACAATTACGTCGCAAGAGTTCCGATCAAATGTAAAGAAGTGTTAAAGGGCTGCACAGTGAAAATTCACTTTTTATAAATATGTCGCATAACAATGACGTTTTTTTGTTTTAATTGCAATAACAACGACAGTCTAATCACTAGCACCGTAACATGATATTTAAAGTGTCGTTGAACACTCTTCTCTTCTCTTCTTCTTTAATTTTTTAATAGCGAAATTGACCTTTTCTGCCCATACCATTGTGATAGACCCTAAGTGGTGTATAATTTCCGTTTCCATTCATCGCTATATGCAGGAATCAATAAAAGAAAGGGTAATAAAAGAATTAATATTAAACTTCATTAAGTAATAAAATAAATCATTAGACATTAGTAATGTAATGTAATGTAACGATAATATAGAATAAATAAATTATTATAAAGTTACTCACTCAATTCATATTCCTTAATAGCAGCTTGCATAATAAATAAAATGCAGTTTAGTAAAGATATTTCGTGTACATAAATCACCAAACTTACCCTGCACAACTGTAGAGGGTTGTCGCGGGCCTTGTATGGTATGTGCATGACACCGTGGTTTCAGTAGACCGTGATACAGGACGAAGTATAAAGTAGCAACGACCGCGGCAGCAACGGCCATACAACGGTAAACGAATCTTAATGAACCAACGATGTCAGAGCCGTTGACGTTGATATAAGCACCGATAACAGCTCCGGTGCATCGACCTGCATGAAAACAAAAATATTAAATGTAATGTTACATGTATACAAATTTTAATTGCTAAGTTAATTAAATAAGCTTATTAAGTATAAATTCACCAAAATGCGTACCAACGCAGAAATGCGCAATCACAGGCAGTGCTTGAGCAGTTACAGTCAAATGACGTGGGACAAGATGTCTTAGATAAAGAATGGCAGTAACCCACATGATTCCTAGTGTGAAGACTTCGAGAGTCTCTGAAATCAGAGACCACCAAGGTTCTGCCACAAGGCTTAGACCTGTAAATCTGAAAATTTCAATTTTGGAAAATGTAGAAACAAAAAAAATATTTATATATACATAATATATGATCGATATTATATTGTACAAAACTTACCTACCTAATAATATATACAGTGAAGGCAGTGATAAGAAGATTACTATGACCACAGTAATCAACTAAATGTTCCGACTTCCACAGAAATAGAAATGCTGGAACCCCACCGACCGTCATAGCTACACCAATTGGAAGTTCGTCACCTCCTAATTTCTCTAAATGTCTAAATAAAAGATTATAAACTAATTTTCATCCGAAAAAAGCATTTTTTGAATATGACTTAAAACATGACTATTCACCGACCATAAGCTATCTTTATCACTAATCGAACAATTTAAAGCCAACGCTATTATACTTTTCCCGCATAACAATATTAAATGACTAACTAAACGACTCTTACAGAGGTAGATAGCTGTCCATGGCGCTCCAGAAGGTACCCATGATGATCAATACAATTACTAAAGCGGCAGTTTCACTGCCATACCTCTTAATAGCGCTCATGGGAAGTGCTAACATGCCACTTCTGGTGTGCCACCACCACTCCGGTGGGCTAAGAGGCATACCGTTGGCGCAAAAAGCTACAAGAGCTGTTAAAAGCATCATGACAGCATGTATACCGATTGGCAGATAGTTGAAAGAGTTTAAGTTTTCTATAAATGTGCACAAATAGCCAGTCAGGGGACCAAAGATGGCAAACCCAAGAGAACCGAAAGCCAACTGACGTCCCACATCCCCGCGACCACAAGATGTTTCTCTAGTGGCTATTACGACTGCTGCATCGATTAAAGCTACAGCCGTCGTTGGGAAAACGTCAGCGGCTGATCGAATAGCTAAGTATGTCCAGAATACTAGGTGAGACCAATCTTCTGTTCGTTGACATTGACTCTCTATAAGAACACTATCTGAAAGTAAAATTATCACGTTAATGTGATAACACTAATATTAGTGATGATATTGATGTTAGAGAGTAATACTACCTGGAAGAGTATATGGATCAACCAAGTCACATTTAATGGAACAACTCTGAGAAACTTCAAGTTCTGGAGGTATACGACAAGTGAAATATTCAGTCAAGGGATATATACACCAATCCTGATCACTTTCGTTGTTTGATGCTTGTTTTAGAGTGGCGTTTATAGCTAAGTTGCCTGAATACTTAGTGTAAACATGACAAACAATATTATCACCTTCTTTAAAACACAAGTGCGGTGGTTCACTTTCAGATAAGGCAAATCTTCTTGTTTTTATGGCTTCTTGTTGTTCCTGCAACGTGATCCATAAATTTTAATTACTTTACCTTTGTACAATTAGATTGGTAAATACTACTTTAGGTTAAACTATTTACCTGGACATTTACTTGAGCATATATTTCACCTTCAAGAGGAATCACAGTCGTTTCACCACTACCATCTAGAATAATAACATCAGAATCAGTTGTTTCAGATGTGGTAGGCCCATCATTCTCATCGGAATGCCATCGTTCCAAACCTATAGAGTCGCAAACATAATTGCACCCCTCTAAATACAGTGGACCAACTTTGGATTCGTCGGACCATCTGTGACAAGAAATATGGTCTTTACATCTTTCTTGCAACACCACCGCTCCTGTTTGATCACATTTAAACTTTAGGCCAGGTCTCCTTTCGCTTGGAGATTCAATGCGGTCAACCGTTGGAATCAGTAAAAGAAAAGCATAGAATATGGCAGAGAGGATGCAGACAATTGCAATCATCACCCTGAGGTAACGACCCGTCGAAGACTTGTCGTTTCTTCCCTGATGACCTGCCAATTTGTCCGCAATAGGAGCAGCAACCAAAGGTCCGAGGATCGCGACTGCTGGCGAAATTATAGAGATCATTCGTATTTGATCGATGCTCAGTCCCTTTTTCGTCATGTGTAGAGGAAGAAAAGGGAAGAGACATCCCATTCCTGGTAAAATAATCGTAAAGTTACTATTACATAAGTATAAAACATTCAAAAATTTAACACATTTGATCATTGTAATGTGTATCCCTTACTTGTGTTATTCGTTTTAAACGTACCTCCAAAAAAAAGGAATAGTAGAAGCTTTAATGACAGAAGATTGACGTTAATAAATTTTTTCTTCGGCAGGTCCTTTGTCGAGTCCATTCTTTCTGTGGACGCCGTAACTGACATCTTTGATATATTATAAAGTTCCCTTTAAAGGCAGGTACAAACGATTCAGGAAAAACTGACGACCGATGGTCGTCTATTATGCCAATGATCCTCCTTTAATTTCCATTTTTATTGGTCCAGTTTTACGTATATCTAAACAAAAATAAAAATTTCTTAAAATAAGAAAAACATTCTAGCAAACGGCAATTTACTTATTTCGAATAGAAATAAGATTGTTTCTTCGATTTTTCTGTTTCCTTTGAAAATATATAATTACAAAGATAATCATAGATCCTGTGCACAAGGTAATAATAATTAAAGAATCTAAACTTACTCCATCAGCAACAAGATATGGCGTACTCTCCGTTAAATCGCTCAACTTCCGGTGTTCTACTTCGTGAATATCTTGGATACTGCAACCAATGAAATTATCACGTAATAAATAGAATAAAATATTTATCAGAAATAAATATTAGTAATGGAAATTGTTTGAACTTTTAGTTTATTCTGAATCTATAATCTTCTTTTACGATTTTCGATTTTTTTAAACAAAAAGTAACTTTCTGCCAGTAAAAGGAAGTCTCCACGTAATGTTTTTATGAGACGTAAAAGTCGATAAAATTTCAATAAAGCTTAAGAATAAATATTGAGGAATTATTTTATTAATTGTCATAGTTATTTCATTCGTTCGTTCAACCTGAAAACCACTATTTCCAGATTCTTCCTTAAATCGTGATTCGACCACGATAATTTATAGTCTATCGAACAAACTTCTGAATGCGTTTCTCAACTCACAAATTATTCTCTATTCTAAAAATAGTATGGACCATACAATCGCGATACAAGTTGTATATACAAATACAACCGATCGTTAGACTGTATGACCATGCAAAAGTCCTTTCTCGTCTACACGAAGCACGAAGACGATTAAAAACACCGCCGGGGAAACTGAGATTCGTCTTTCATAAGGAAGAGGACGATTGTAGTCCAAAGATATCAATTCTCACAGGAAATCAAAGAATCGCTTTCCTCGTTAGTAAACGAAGATACTAACTCGATTTATATATTTTCATGTGTAAGTATACCTGGAAGAGTTCGCTACGTGGTTGTGCATCTTTGAATTTATTCTGTTGGATTGGAGGAAAAGATGTAATAGTCCTTTGTAAATAGTTAATTAAACAATAAAGTTGTTCACGTATGTGAGTAATAATTGATATAATATTATGAAGTTATGATATACATATATGTCAGATACGACATCCATGATACTCTATTATATATCCTATTTTATAAATCTTAAAATGACTTTCAGAGGAACAGGAAGCTTAGAAACCGTTTAAAATCAATCAGTATTCTCAAATATTCATTCTCAGAAAGAAGGAACAGCTATATGGAACATAGAATGTGGGCAAGATAATAATGCAGTCGAAACATAGAGCTGTTCCTCGTAAGACTGATTCTTGTAACAAAGATAAGGAAGTCGCAATTACACGACGTTTGGTACTTGGGAAAATTAGGAATTACACGATGATATTGGTCCCAAGGATTTATGGTTTTTCACAGCAACTTCGATCGATATGGTGATAAAATTAATTTCTTCGCTATTTAAACTGAATGTAATGAAGAAGAATAACAAGAAAAATTTATACAAAATACTAAACATAATAATGACATCACCAAAGATTCATTTCTAAAAATGAATCAAAGCTTTGTTTATTTGTCATACTTTTCAATTGACTTCGAGAATGACACGTCTTTAACGTCACTCTGTATTCTTTGAATGATACAGCTCGATGACCGCTTGTAACTTTCAAATAACTTTAAGAACCAGTGACCCAACCTCGATGACCCTCGGTGACTTTCAAACGATTTCAAGCACAAATGACATGATCTTAATGACTTCTTGACGACTTTGAACACTAACAATATAACTTCCATATCTACATGTAGTCACATTCCTCTCTGCAAATAATTTCTTTAGTATAAAATAGTTTTAAAAACTGGATCATAATTTTTCATAAATATAGTCTAGATTTTTAAATCTACCTTGTATATTACTTCAAAATGTTTCAGTAAATAATTGTAGTCTATCTTTTTACTGTGAGATTCAGAACCTTTCACTTTTAAAGTTCACTCATTTTTTCTCATACGTATTCATCACTTGTTTCACAGAACTATCAAGATTATATACCTCCTAGAAGTGAAAAACTGAAGCTGTGGTCAACAAGATACATCTATTTAGTGAACATTATCAGACTAGTCTTCTGATTACATGGCGACACGTCATCGTCGCGAAGGAATCAGGGGATGACGGCATACCCTGTCACCTAGCACGCTTTTATTCGTCCTCCTACATGGCTCTTCACAATTAAACGTTCGTCTGTTTCGTTCAATCATCCTCCTCCCTCGCGGATGTGACCACCGGTTAGCAACCGTCTTAATGTCTTCGAGAAGGAAACGGGAATTACCGCAATACTTATACAGCTTCAATGATATAGTTCCCACTGTTCTTCAGTTTCTAGAGCATCTACTTTGTGGTAACAAAACGGATTTGTAATTTGGATCGTGGAAATTATCTTTTTGTAAGAAATTGATGGTAATTCTAACAGCTTTTTATGTAGAGGCAATACAGGCCACTATTATTTTACATTAATATATTTACATTTCTAAATGTTTACTCTTTTTAATACATGAGACCAAATTAACATCTGTAGTTCACTTACCAAATGCAAATTAATGTTGATTTGAATAAAATGTTCTATAATTTCTCAGGTTTCTTATATTATGGATTTCTTGCGAAGCAAAAAACAAAAGACATAATAGAGAATTCCTTCTTGTATCTGATTTATTCATATATCACGCCAAATTTAAAATTCAATTCATTTCGTATTTTAATCTGATTTTCCATGTTTTAAACCTGTAATAAATTTTGATCAATCGTAAATGTAAAGACGAGCTTCGAAATTTAGAAGTTTGTTCCTGAGGCATACATTCTTGTGACATATTCTCCATAAAAAATGTATTTAATGTCTCGTTAGTTTCTAGAATATTGATTCACAACAGCAGATTAGCTGACTCACCCCATGTGACCCAGAAAATCCGGAAGTCAGAAACCGATTAGCAAACGCATCAGTTTACAATAATCGATATAAACTCCATTAAATGTCGATAAACTTTACAGATTTTCATATAGAAAACAATCGATATAAATAACAAATTGTTAAGAAAATTGACTATGTGACTGTCACACGAAACATTACTTGATAGAAATTAATATCAGGAAACAGTGTTTTGTACTTTCGCTAGAGGTAAATAAACACTATATAACAATAAATTACTATGTTACAATGTTCGTGAACGAGATAATGCGGTCATCGATCGACAATAATACTATTATATTTTGGGAACCGACCGAATCTATGTTTATGTGAATATACGTTCGTGAAGTTTATTTTAACATTAGATGTATCTTCTATAAGAAATTGAGACTAAAGTTATATTCATAAACATCGTCGTAATAATCATAAAAATTTGAAAAATGTATTATAAAATTTTTGAGAATCGACAAGGGATATTCATGAAAAGAAGATGTTTTACGAAAATGTTTGTTCCGAAGAAGAATAAGGCGTCAAATGTTCGACGAGAATAAATTATTCACACATTATCCAGTAATTCATTAGATAATCTGCAGAGAAGACGTGAATGAAATATTGCGCGCACTAGTGCGACTGTCGTACAGTTTTATTGGACGGAATTCGCTTTTACATCTGACAGGTCGATTATTAAACCATGCGAAGCTAAAGGCTATTTTCTACCTCCTTTCCTCTTGTGCGCCACAGAAATATTGTGTTTATCTTGTGCAAATTTGTAAACGAATCTGAGAGAGATACATATCATAAAATTTGATTTTTCAAATTCAAATTTAAATGTTGAATGGATCAAATTCAAATTTAAATGTTGAATGAATCAAATTCAACTTAGATATTTCAACTCAAAATATAAGTTTAAACATTTAAGTTCATTTTCTTACTAGAATCTTAGAATATTTCTTCACCTGCTCAGTCTTTTACCTTCCAAATCTTTCGCCAATTGAGAAACAGCTGAGCAGATTTACTTGGCTAGCCAATCAATTTGAGAAATCTTCGACTTTAATTCCGCAGACGAAGACTAGAGCTCTTCGAGTATCTTCGTCCGTTAAACCAATAAGTGTCTCTCGTTCCCCCTAAGGCTTGTTCTTCGACTGCTCCACTTCGTGTTCATTGCAATTCCGCGGTAGTAGAGTCGCATTTCGATTATCTCGCAATCAGCTTTCGAGTATGGAATAAACGTGGTGGAGTCTGTAACGACTTGTGCGTGCACTGGAATGGCAACCCTAACTGGGTTAACGACAGGTCATGGAAGCCTCGAATGTTTTCGTTCGCTACAAACCACCTTTACACGTATTCGTGTGTTTTCAAAGACTGCAGCTGTAACACCGCCAAGCAGAAAATGCGCCGTGAAATTTGTTGGCTGTCGATGTTGAGTAGAGATTTGCGAATACAAATTGCTCGGGCAACGGTTCATTTTGCCGATCTGATAGAGACATAATTATCGTTCCACTCGTTCTATCGGGAGAGAACTTCTCCTGAATAACAACTCTACTATACATCCAGTAGCTACAAATAAGAATTAAGTAGAAAAGTTCTTATGAATGTAACAGAAAGTTTGGATATCTTATTGATTTCGAATACGTATACTGCAACGGAAGAATATTATTGAATTATTAACACCTTCAGAATCGAAAATGTGAATTTATTTCTGCCTATGACTGACTGCTATGTAATGAAAAGTTATAAAAGAAAATCTTTATATCAAGGGTTTTAAACCAACACTTAGACGTCATATGTACGGTTTATGCTTATATCTTCAAATATTTTTAAAAATATTTCACTTTTATGTCGTTAATGGATTAGTAACACTTTCGTACCTTTAATAAGTTAGGAAAGTACTACAACTAAAGTTAAGTATATGTATTAAATATGGTCTAAATAATTCCAATTGTCGATTCATGGTCTTCCTTAAGGATTTGCCGAGAAATCACAAAGCTTGTCACGTACGTAAATTGTTCACGCTGTAATTTACACCAATCATTCTTTTCCATTGCAAATATATTCTCCCCTGACTATAAATAGTCACGTGCGAACATTGCCTTTTAAGCGGGCGGGATTCGTTTAATAGTTTGTTGGTCTGCATTACGGAGAACGGAAGTGGTGATCGTGATTATGCGTGTATAACAAATATAGCGCAATTGAATCTCATACTTTGCAATTCCAGTATTTATTTTTAGCTAAAACAATATCACATGATATTAAAGATTTTCCTATAATTCAAACTGATTTAAAAAAATATATTTGGAAGAAAATATTATAAAAGT